TGACAGGCTTTATAATAGCCCCCATATCTGCCCTGAAATTGGTGCGAAAGAGGCCTTGGCTTAAGTCTGAACATGGGAAGGCGTATCAGAAGACTGAATTGTTGCAACGGTTATTGCAGGTTTATTTTTAGGCCCATCCACCAATCACATGACCTTCGAGTCTAAGAAGTAAACACAGGCAAGCCAACACATGATTAACCTCTCGGCGAGTCAACCTATTCCGGACTCTGTTTATCACACTCATTATGTACACATTTTCAGGATTTGCCCACATTCCTACAGAGGTCTTAATCAGAATATACGGGGAACTGCCTCTTCCAGATGCGCTTCATTTGGCCGCGACTTGCCGTCGCCTCCGCCAGGTCTTGATTAACAACACGCCTACAATTTACAAACGCCTACGCAGAAAGATGCCATGTGAACGACATGCAAGAGTCCTACTGGCGGATCAAGGTGGCCCACTACCTCATTCTTTGTCAGTGACTCTCGGGGATCTGTTACGATTGCGACGAAACGTTGGCATTGTGGAGAAGGCGATCGAGGTGTTTGACCGTGATATTACTCCGCATATCCGGAGTAAGTAGATGAACCAGGGAACACATTAACTGTTTGGAATATTTGCTGACTTAAGTGTTGTAAAGTTCCTCTTACGAGCGTCGATGACGAGTTTTATGGTGGAAAGCCACGCCCATTACACTTAACTCCAACAGAACGTCATCGCTTCACCTGGAGTTATTACCAAGTTTGGAGTCTTCTACTACTGGACCAACCATCTCGCCAACAGCGATATCGGTCTATGTTGCTGAAGCACCTGTACATGATATACGAAATGGTTGATCTTGACCAGCCAATCGGGGACGAATCGGGATCTTCCCCAGCTGACGAGAAACGATGCGCACTCTCTCAGGAAGTAAGCGAGTACCTCCGTTTTTTATATCACGACATCCACGGAGTCGACTACATTGATTTCTCGGGGCAAAGCATTCCTATGCGTACTCAAGGCCACGCAGCAATATGGGACCATTGCCAGCCTGATTTGAAGAGGATCGTTTGCTACCAGTGGCGAGATCCGGAGAAGAAGCCTGTCAAGGAGGAGGACGTGTGGGAGATTACAACTGATGAAGAATGATTTTTTGTTCGAACTTGTTGGATAGATGAATAGCCTTGCACGAGGTGTCAAGTTACAGCCGATTGCTAGACAGAAGGGAGGCCTTAGAACAGCTAAGACTGTCAAAAATTTAGCTGTAACTACAAGACCCACAAGATTTCTCCTTGAGTCCCCTGAATTCAAAAAGCCGCATTTAACCCTAGTCGAAAGTCAGGGTTCGTGGGGAGGGGTTTAAATACTCAGCAAGTCAACATTCACGGGCTGGAATAAGGCAAAAAGATACTGTGTACTCCGTCCCTTCGGCATTCGACTTACATGCATGCTGTATAAAGCTTTGACTATAATTATATGGTACATACGACCACAGGGTGTGGAAAACAGGGCTTCCCGTCCGCTCAGCCGTACTTAAGCCACACGCCGGGAGGTTAGTAGTTGGGTGGGTGACCACCAGCGAATCCCTTCTGTTGTATGTAATTGATTTTTGCCTTCTTTTTTCTAAAGGCACCGGAGCAGACCGTCTAGTAAGTCATAAACGGGCGTGAAATTGGACGTTTGTGGAGGGGCCTGGTGGGCTCCTTCTTTGCTTTTGAGCGGCGGCTTTCAGTTGCTAATTTGGCAACCTATGTGCGTATGATTCGAGCCCATCATGACTTATTCGCATTATGCCCACTTCCTACCGGGCCGGCCCTATGTCCGCAGGAAGTGAATGTGATAACCGCAAAGCAAACCAGATGATCACATGGTTCCTATCCTCTTTCCTCAACAACGAGCCTAGAGTTCGTTTGGGGATAATCGCACGGATACCACATTGAGGCCAATATCAAATTATCCCTCCCACTTGAACCTGTCTTTTCTTCCCCCTTGGGTTATGAGTGGAGTATATACGGGAATATGAAACGACATGAGTAAATGGGTCCTATATCACACGGTGCTCTCATGGAGATTGCCATTTGCGTGCTTTATTTCGGATACCCTGTAATAGCAGATAGAGAACTTGCTACAGTGTACTTGACTTCTGCCAATTCTTGTTGAGATTATCCTAGTCGGGACCAATTCATGTTAACTATTTCATGCGCTACACCTTCACACTTTCGCCTTCCCTCCCTTAATGTTAGACCAAGTACCACACGACTGCATGAGTCAATAACCTGTCTATATTTCACTGGAATAATCGCACACCATGTCACTGGAGTAGACCTATGGACCCTTATGGCCGTCACATTTAACCCCTTGTCCACTGCCAATATAGAATATTAGTCCGCTTCTGGATGTTGGGTTCACTAGATATGATACCTGCAATTTCTCCTCACCGTCGGGTACAGCGAAGGCGCACAGGTGAGATAGGAAGGGCCGCAAAAATGGATACTTTCAGGTACGAGGCGGGGGCTTGGTGGAGTCGGTCACCGCGCTCATCACACAGAGTAATGTCGAACATGTTGATGATCCTCGTCACTGCTCCAAGTGCCTGCAAATTTACCAACTGTACATGCTTGTTAACTCCAATCTTCGGAAACGCATGATTCCAACTTACTCTTCGTCCAGCTTTAGAAGTCAATCAGTGGGGAATGAGTTAGAATATAGAATGTACTATCTTGGTCAAGAGAAGATGCGCACTCACGGCATCTCCGGCGTCCTGCTCCAAAACCATTAAACGCGAGGTATTCTTTCGTATGTTCTGCACGATCCGACAGGAAGCGACCCGGGTCCCAACGCTGTGGGTCGGGGTATACCTCTGGGTCCTGGGTCACTTCTTGGAGGTCGTAGGTCTGGTCATTGTCAGTTTGCCTTTGCAGTAGTCTGCAAAGCAGCTAGGACTTACTGCATAGGCCCCAGATGGTATCACTTCGCCTGTGTCTCCAATCGGAACGTCGTTTGGGCTAATGTTCTTACGAATGGTGACCAATCCGAGGACTAGTCGAATTGTCTCTAGAAGACAAGCATGGAGGAGGGGAAACTCCTTTTCCCAGGTATACACACTCAAGGTTCGGAGGACTTCATCTGCGGACTCGCCATCCTTCCTATATTTAGAGACTACTTGGTCCACCTCCCGACGGACTCGAGTCATCCAATGTACATTCGTAGCAAGCATAACCAGTAACCACGAAGTTACTGTCGGGGAGTTCGCCTGCGACGCAAACGAGATTGACAGCAATGCCTGATGAAATCCAGTCAGCCTGTCTTGGGTGGAGACGTTTGCGAGTCTGTTTGCTAACCTGCAGGATTGCGCTCATACTCCGACCCTTCACTATAAGATCTTGAACTATGCCCATGTTCTCGGGCTGTTTTTTGTGTGCCACCGGCTGGTGCTGCCGCTCCTCCTTCCTTTGCTCACTGACGATCCGCCACAGCATCACATACAGTTGTCCTATTCCAATGACCGCGCGGATATGTAGTGGGTTCAGAAGCCAGGGAATTACCATATCAGCCGCTGAAAATGTTCCGTCTAGCAAACCTAGTAGGTCACCCACCTTTCTGGACAGCTCGGGGGAGCACGCCACCTTCTGCACTCCCAACACTGCCATGGTAGACTGTGTGTAGAATAAATTCATTGCAGAGAACGGTTCGATCAGTTCTTCGACCTTGAATTGATTCAGAGTTGCGGTGATATACTTTTCTATAGTCTGGGGAACGAACTCCAGGCCCTGTTTGCGCAACAGTCGCGCGCGCAGTGTGGTCCGAAGATATGCTGTATGCGTATCGCTGGACGGATCTTTAGAAGCTTCGACCAGGTTTACGAATGGGAGAAGCACAGCGACCCTGCAGTGCGTGCCCGAAGTCAGTAGTCTACTTTGGTTATTGGGACTGTACGGAGGAGCAATGACCTACCCTTCATCCACATCGAGATCTTGACTTTCATAGAAGACCTTACGTCCCTGAGGACCGCATATACCAACCATTCGATGTCGACCAAGGTAATAGCTATAGTTTCCAGTTGGAGAAGCCGCCTTGGAGACACGACAGAACCCATTCCGATCGAAGAAAAACTGAAGAGCGCCCACCAGCGGGTATCCCGAAACTAACTTGGGGGCATTGGCGGGGAAGGGACGCTTCCAGAGTAGCCTTAAACATTGCACGAGCAATACAAAGGCAATGGCATAGAATGCCTGGGTCAGCGCGTAGGTCGCTGTGTCGAACATGGTTGTGATGATGTGTGGGTCTAATGGTATTTCCTACAGGTCCGAGCCGCACTATATATCTCTCAGAGTTTCCCAAATGCTCAAGTCGGGGAGATGACTCTTTCACTACCCACCTCCTCTGGGACGGTGGCTTTCACTTGACTATTGGAGGGACTGCGTCCAAGTTGCATATATTATTGAAGTATAAAGTGTCTGGGATAGGCGGTGTGTTGGTGGACATGACAGGTCGACCGTTGCATGCAGTCCTTACCGAGATGCAGGATATGCATCTAGTGTTGCCTGGGAGTTTGAAAAATGGAGGAAAAAAAGGCGTAACAACCTGTCACTCAAATCTTTATTCGGACAAGCTCGTGTTAGTCTGTGTTCCCGCCTAGTCCCTTGGCAAATCTCAGATCCTGTCGTCAGTCACATCCCGCGGGCCACTTTGAAGAACAGACGATTGTGCTGCATTGTTTTACTTCCAACGGTACATATCAAATGCTTTCTATTGCATATAGACGTGGTGATGACGTTGTCATAATACAAATCAGCCTACCCAATGGAGTAAGCCATAGCCTGCCCGATCCCTTCCCCAAGTGACTCTTGAGGATATTTATTTTCTGTGATTACAAATTTCCGTGCAGTTTAATGATCGGTTCTGGATGTGCCTTGAGAAGGGCTTGCGTTCTGAGCAAATCAGTATGATATAAGACGTCGATACACTTTTTCAACTGAGACAGTTCAGTATTCACGAATTCATATCAGTATCTCAAGCCATGGCAAGCAAATATACACTGAGGATCAAAAATCGTGTGAGCGGCAACTGCCCGAGCAATCGGATAGGGCCATCCCACACCAAACAAACTGACACAGACGGCTGGCACTTGGTGGCTACCCAAGATCTGGGACGCTTGAAATGGGTTTATATAGACGACGAGGAGCGCAAGGCTCACCCCCAAGATGGTACAACCAAGTTCTTTCTAGATATTCCCACGGTATGTCAAACGTAGCTGGTTCCTCTGGTCTGGCTGGTAAAGCTAATATGAATATGATCTAACTTCAGAGTAACGCCAACTCATGCCCTGCGAAAACGGCTTCTCAAGCCATCTACAAAGGCGTCCAGTTTCACTCCAACACCCAGGTGCGTGACCTCGGCTGCTGGGCCGCTGATTTGAGTTGCATTTTCTTCGTTACCCCAATGCTCGTCATGGCATGGTACATTACCGGTGCTCAGATCGATGAAGCCCATGTAGTCGAGTTGATACGCTTCATGTTCAACTGCCAAAACCCCGATAACGGTGGCTGGGCGACATATTTGGAGGAGGATCCTTCGCCGATGGGGACTACATTGGTCTATATTGCACTGCGACTCATGGGGGTCCCAGCTGGCGATGAGCGTCTCTGTAAAGCCCGCGAATTCTATCTTAGCCACGGTGGAGCACTCTACTTGCCAGCCTGGGCCAAGTTTTGGCTTGCTATGCTAGGACTGTATGACTGGGCGGGCACTGACCCTTACCCTGTTGAGATGTGGTGAGTTGTTTGTTTCCTACAGCCTTTCTGCGTCTGGGAAATCGTTGATACTGACTTCATATCAGGCTTCTACCCAAGTGGTTCCCGCTCAGCCCATGGAATTGGTTTATAATTCCACGCCAAGTCTACCTGCCAATGTGTTACCTCTCATCTAGGAGATTCACATTGCCAACCAATGATCTGTTAGATGAGATTCGGGCGGAGCTTTTCCCACAAAAATTTTCTTCTGTTAATTTCGCCGCATATGAAGGAGTGGTGCGGCCGTCTAAGCGACATCAAGCAAAGAGTTGGATACTGCACATACTGAATTGGATCCTTACTAATGTGTGGAATCCGTGGCTCTGCCCCAGTGTACTGAAGAATAAGGCAGAAGAACGAGCGTGGGACATCTTGCTCAATATGGATAACGCGAGCAACTCGACCGGAATCATCAGTATGGACGCCTGGCTGAATATGATAGCTGTCTATTGTGGCGAGGGGCCTGATTCACCCACTTTAAAACACATGCAGGAAACAAGTCTGGAGTATCTCTGGATGGGTTCGTCGGGAATGCAGTCCATGAGTATCCATGGGGGGCATGCGTGGGACACATCCTTGGCACTGCAGACGCTTGTGTATACAGGTCTCGCCGAGCACAAAGATTTCCAACATAACGCGCAGCGAGCTTATGAGTATCTAATACAGCAGCAGCTCGTGAATGACTGGGATGACGATAGTATCTGTCATCGTCCTAGCCGTCTCGGGGCCTGGTCCTTTACGACCCGTTACCATGGCAGCCCCTGTTCCGATTGCACAGCTGAGTCTTTGAAAGCCATCTTGATGGTCGAGAGGAAACTGGGTTCACGACAAATGAAGGAAGCAAACCTCCGATTATCGGTAGATAACCTCCTAATGATACAGAATCACAGCGGGGGCTATAGCAGCTTTGAGCCTATCGCCGCAGGTAATTGGCTGGAGTACTTCAATGGGACCGAAATGTTTGGACAGGTGATGACAGAACATGATTATGTCGAGTGCACGTCCTCTTGTGTCACAGCACTGGCTCTTTTCAGGGCTCGGAACGGCGAATATCGACGCAATGAGGTTGATCGAGCCATTGAGCGGGGTGTGAAATTCGTGGAGACAAGCCAGCGCGATGACGGAAGCTGGATGGCCTCTTGGGGAATTACATTCACCTATGGTGCTTTCTTTGCCATGGAAGCCTTACACCATGGAGGCCGAACATATGAGAACTCTAGCGTGGTCAGAGCAGGATGTCGCTTCTTACTAGACATGCGAGAGTCTGACGGCGGGTGGGGAGAAACACTAGAGGTAGGTACATAACCTTTCTCGTGTCACGGAGCTAACAAGTAGCGTTTAGTCTCGTATGGTCGGCGCATATGTACATGCGCCTAGATCACACACTGTACAGACTGCATGGTCGTGCCTCGCGTTGATGTATGCCGGTTATCCCGATCCGGAGCCCATAAAACGAGGAATCTATCTTATTATCAGCCGACAAAAGCCAAATGGAAAGTGGGAACAAGAATATCCCGTTGGCAGTGGAATGCTCACATGGTATGTTTGCCAGCGTTGTCTGGAAATTCAAGATCCATACTGACCAGCTGCAGCCATATTCAATATCACAACTACATATACTCGTTTCCCATCCGCGCACTGGCGATGTATGAAAAGCTGTACGGAAACGGGCCTATCATTTGAGCATCAGTACAAGATGTATTCGCTTTGGTTGGAATGATACATGATGGAATGAAGGATAAATCCCAAATATACTGTTGGGAAACTGCATAGTTCGGTTTATGTATGTGTTTTGGATCGTACAATATGCAGAACATTTAGGTGCAAAAGAACACAGAAGGATATCTTCCATCTAATGTTGTAGAGTATAACGATGACATGACGGAGTTATATGCGTAGGTAATAAACGATCTTCATTTTCCCCCTGCCCAACGAGCCATGCACATCTCCGAGGCCAATACAATGCAACAGCAAAGTACCTTCCCAAACCTACCAGGATCAGGTATATATTCCTTGTAATGGGCACAATAATTGCGACCTCAACAAGGACTGCCCCGAAACTATTTCCCGGTTTCACACAGCGGTCCAAACCACGCGCCGCCTACCACCTCCTCCCAGCCCTCGTTCCCGACACATCGCCAACACCAAAACACATTTTCCGGGTCATACTTCTTCTTTACGGACAAAAGCCAGTTGTAGTTATTTCCAAACCAGTCCTGCCTCCAGTCCGGATCGTACGGATCGGCCTCGTTTAAATATGTTCCCATACCCGGAGCCATGTCCTTCATTGCTTTCAATTTCATTTGGGTGAGAGCGTTTCGGTACTGTTGAATCTCCTCGTCGCCGGCATTGTCGGGCCAGACATCGATTTGCTGGAATAGGAGGTGGGAGCTTCGCCACGCGGGATTCATGGATGTATGAGGGACGGGGTCGAGAACCTTCCCACCCGCGACGATGTTGAACAAGGTTGCCCAAAGGGTGCTGTTTGGGACTGTCTGAGAAGTGACGGTCTCCAGAAGGCTTGTCAGGTTGTTCTTTGGGAATTCCAATGTTTGCTTGTCAAAGAGTCGTGACGCCATGATCGGCCTGTTCGAACCCGGTGTTGTGTGGTGCGTGCTGGAGTAGTATGCATGGAAGGTCGGAAAGGTGGTGAAGGTGGATAGAACCAGATACAAGGTTCCGTTGTGCTGGAGCAGGTCATCTAGGATAAGCCGTTTCATGGCGTCTTTGGCGCTCTCTAATGCCTCGGTGGAATTGTTCTCAAGCAGATTCAGGAAAGGCTGGGTATATACCAGCGGTCCGGCATAGGGTGTGAGGATTGCAGTGCCAGAGTATCCTGCGTCTGAGAGAGCTGGCAATTTGGGCATTATGTTGCCAGTAGCGTTGATAACGGCATCGTCATTTCCGTTCAGTGCAACGATGTCCAGGGTATGGCCCAGGACAGGACGCGTTGGGTGGGCTTTGATGGTGGCCGATAAGACTACACCATAGGTGCCTCCACCACCTCCACGGAGGGCAGTGAAGAGGTCTGCATACTGACAGGCGTTGGCAGTGACAAGCTTTCCAGATGCTAGAACAACTTTGTATTCCAGAACCTGGTCTGCCCCGAGTCCAAAGAAGTGGCTAACGGGGCCATGGCCACCACCTTGCATGAAGCCTCCAAGGACACCGACAGTCTGGTCTATTCATTAATACGGATGCGTATCATACTTCAGCCTCCAGGGATAGACTTACCGGATCTGCTCCGCCAACAGCGACGACACCATGCGTGGCAGCAAAATCGTATACGTCCTGCCACACATATCCACCGCCTACGGTGATGGCACTTCCAGTCCAGTTGGATGGACAGGATCCATTCCCAGGAACGTATCTGTCGTGATAATGTAGTCCATCTTGTATGGACTTGATCCAAATGGAAAGGCTACCATATCCTTGCGATCTGTTATATTTAGTGCGTGTACAATCATGGAACCCTGACGCTGTGTACTCACCGCTGCGAAATATCATGACCTGTGTTTTTGATGACCAACCTCACATTGTGATCCCTTGCAAACTTAATCCCGGCAGCAACATCAGCTGCGGTTGTCGCCTTGACACTGTAGACGGGATAGTTGCCCAGGTCGCACTGTGGATATCCAGCCAGAGTGGCATTGACAGGGGGGCAGCTTTCCACGAGTGGGTAGCTATATCCAATGGGAAATTTTGCCAGGTACTCGTTGCTTGTCCAATTGGAGCTGATAGTCTGACAGAGCTGGGAACTGTAGCCTGGGCCTTGGTAGCACGGTTTAGCAATTGGCTCGTTGCGCGCAAGCTTTCCGTCAACGGAGCTGTTTAGGGCGCTCCATGTGTCTGTAGAGGGCCAGCACTCATCCGTAGGGGCCTGTATCCTCGCGATGTAAGCTATCTCCGCATCATCTAAGAGAGAAGGAGATCAAGTGATAACATACACATTTGCATTTGGCTAATACAGACTGTGCTCCAGCCAGGAGTAGGATACTGCTAAGAAGCATTTTTGTCTTGCTGTATTATTGTTAAATATTCAAAATTCATTGTCGCCAGCAGTGTAAGGGAAAGATTTTATATTTGTCGCTCCTCAATGCTCAACAGGCGACAACGTAAGCAGCGCAATATGTTGCGCCCATAGCCACCGAGTACGGAACGGAAGCCGACCTTGCCCTCAGAAAGTAACGGGCAGCGACGTCCAGGGACACGATCCAACATACTGTCACCTTCCATTTTGGACATGTCTTACAAGACTTCAGGAAGCCAGTTCGATGAACAACCCAGTTCTGAGCGGAGTGAACAGTGTAAATATCATGACCTAGAACAAGTCGAGGCCCACATTGCCCTGAGAGGGGGATATGATTCGTCGCAGCGAGAGTATCTCCAGCCGATGCCGATCCCTCAGCCTCATGGGGGCCATGGAAACCGGCCATCTTCAACCCCTCCACGGTCGCATTGCTCCTCTATATCCTCCGACCAACTGCGATCTTGATAAATGCAAGGACAAAGAGCTCAACGACGCCCTAGGGGCAAATATGCTCGTTTAATCTGCCGGGGGTGCCGAGCTCGTAAAATCAAATGCGTGCTGGCTTGCCCACTGGCCTCATTAGGCCCACTGGGTACTCCACAACCCCCGGCAACATGTTGCGAGAGATGCCGCAATCTCGATCTCGAATGCATTGTCGAGAGCAATCCTCTAGGCCGGCCAGCAACGAAACGCGCAAATCGCGGAAATGTGGCCAGCAAATCGCCCCAGCCAGACACTTCCAATTCCCCGCGTCCAAGCCCCCAACACAACGAGAAAGCGGCCAAGCTCTCTGACTCCATTCAGCACTATCTTTTCTCCGGCGCGATACTAGACGACCATTCCATGCTGCAGGAATTGCCGGATGCCACGGAGTCTACATCCGATGCCGACCGTCTTTACCATGCCATGGCCAACACCAGCAGCTTTATCGCGGGGGTGTTGGCTAAGGATGTTTCTTTCGGCTCCACCATTCAGCTGGTGTCTACTTGGAGCACTTCTCTGACAGATACAGTGAGCCTTGATCTTGCTGCCACGCTTGACAACCTGTAAGATCAGGCGCAGAACTATGCCCATCCCATCAGCTGGCTAAATCGTTGCTAGATTAGCGTGGCACCGTCTCTTCGTTATTGGCACACCAAGCCTGCTACACCTGAGAGAGCGCTTGTTCTCCACCGATCCCAATACTAATAATGTGGCCACCAAGCTGCTTTTTGCAGTCCTTTGCTTGGCTGCCTGTGAAAGTTCAGAAAATGTTCGCCGTCAGAACGGATCCCTCCGAAATACTCTACTGCAGGCCGTTTCGTCATACGGCCAGGACTTCATCTTCAGTCCTCCCACACACATAGACTCCATTGCTGTCTGTCGCTTCTTATCGGCGTTCAAGCCGACCGCCTTGGCCACGTCTAAAAGAGTTGCCAGTCAATCCATCAAAGCCGAGCTGTATCTGACTATAGCATATCGGATCGCAGAGCGGCTAAGATTGTTACCTGAGCCAGGAGCCATACCATTTCTGGATATGACTGCCACCGACAGTGTAGTGATGGAGCGTGAGATAGTCCTATCAATCCAAGGCCTTGAAATTACAGCCGAGGAATTTCTGATGGGTGACTTTTTGACTATGACCCTGCAAGGTTTCCGACAGGTTCTTCAACGGATGCAACCTCATATAGACTCCTATCAAATGTTCCTGGAAACACACTCCTATTCACCAGTCATTATCTTCCATGTCAAATGGATTACAGCCACATATATGCAAATTGAGGCAATGGCAAACTCTAAGCAGTCCTGGATGAGCCCCAGTCGGTTGTTCATCGTTGTCGAAGAGGGCGAAAAGAAATGCCTCGCAGAGGTTAATTCTGCCTATCATTTATTATCAGAAGCAGCAAAAGATGAACGGCAGAATGAGGTTGTTATCATGTCCTCACTGCTGGAGCTGCGCTTTCATGCCGTTATTGCCAAAATTTTTGGCCTCGGGCTTTTCTATATATCGGTCTGGAAAGCAAGAATGGAAGAGGATCGACCACAAAAAGGCACTGAAATTTACCCGGATGAAGCGAGTCAGATGGGCAACACCGTCATTAATTCCATGATGACAACACCTGACTCTCAAAGTGACTCGCACTTTTTCAAGTTCTTGCGTCAGTTTGGGGGAAGGTATCCAGACAAGCTGCAAGGAATTCTAGCCAAATTCATTGAGGCCGCATCAATGAAGCACGGTGGCATTGACTACATTGCGCCAGTTCGGCCAATCGTAATCGAGGTTGTTAATCTGTGTAAGAATATAGTGGAAAACAACCTTATCCGGTTCAAGGGCTCCGGAAGGTTGCATCCCAACTTTGACAAACAACTCGATCTTTTCAAGCAGTGCGCCGATGCGCTGGTTGCCATGGTGTCCCAATCAGGAAACTCTCCGGAGGTCGCCTTTAGGAGCGGCTGTATGTATATCGCAAGCAGCAAAATGCTCAACGGTCTGCAGGATTTGATGTATACTCTGAAACAGCAGTCTTCTATTGTCAGAAAGTATGATGAGGCTATGGGAGTGGTGGATACCCCGGTAAATACGACCCAGCCTTTCGCAATGCCAAACGTGCAGTTCAGTTCATTTGAGGCATGGAACATGTGGCCATATCCGAATACGATGCACGGCGCCTTTCAACCGGGAGATATTCTTGATTGGGGTCAATTGTCTAGCACCATTTGGCAACCGGACCCAATGACGGATCTTCCTAACACTGCCATAAGACTGCCGGGTACGGCTGCTGGATTCGAAAGCAGCATGCCACCGTTTCACGAATGAAATGCACATGATGCGCCGGGGTACACCGCACTATACATACAAGTACAGTGTGCCAGCTTTAGCTTGGTGGGTGAAGTTAGAGAGAGAGCCTTGTCATCTCAAATTATGGTATTATGAGTTGTGAATGGTTAAAATCGTTGTATGACCAGACGGTTGATTGCACTCTATGTGACCCTGGTGCATCCTCTCATGCTTGCTGCCTTTTCCTTAATGTGAATACAGGTGTGTCACTTCTTATTTAGTGATTCAATGACATCAATATTTCATGGCTATCATTCTATATGCATCTTGACTACTTGAATTTCGCATTAAGTTGTAGGGATTTCAACTTCTTGCCAGTTTCTCATCTTTCACAATGAGCAATCCTATGATTATTCTTGGAAACAACTGCAGAATAATCAGTGTAGATCTATACCAAATACAAACCTCGCAACTTTTTCATCGCGCAATTATTCCCGTATCCTCATGATCCTGAGGCTGACCGCGCAACTTCGCGCAATTAAGCATGCGGCAGCCGCCGATCGGCTCCACCATGGTCTTGGCATACTGATTTACTTGAGTGCGATAAGGCTGCACACCCCGACCAGCGGCTTATTTGCGCTCCTAGATGCGCCTGGCGGTGTTGTTCGATGACAGATCTGCTGTGTTTCTTTTGCTCGAAAAATGAAATAACGTAACGTACTGCGCCCGAGCATAGCCTCTGGCACTGTTGCTCTTTGATTTTGGCGAGGCTTTGAAGGGTGATGATGAAAATATATAATGACTTGTTTGTCGTCGTCAAAACGCTTTCAGTGAGCTGCTGAACTGTCGATTTACGCCGCATTGCCAATTATATTTATCTCAGTTTGATTCAATATGTCTATCTTAAGTCGAAGTGCTGGCAGCTATGGCTGTCCTATACCGGACCATCTCGAACAACGTGAGTAGTTGTTACATCATTGCACCTCAGATGCGACGAACTAGCTGACCTCGGGACAGTCGACGTTGGTCCCTTCGTGGGGAATCTCACCTTCTATCAATTCAACATCATTGTATCCGGTGTTTGCACAGCGATTGTGCTGTCTCTCATCTTGGGCCTTATGGGTCGACATGCGATGCATATGAGCAATCCTAACGAGCAACTAAAGTAAAGACATTTGACGCCGTGGGGAAGTATCGAGGATGCTGACAAGACTATGATAGGATAATGCGAATCTGTAACCTCATCCCGTCCTACCAAGTCCTATCTTACATCTCAATCTGCTTTCCGAACTCCTACATCTACCTACAAGGGTTCACCGAGGTTCTACAGGGCGTGGCGTTATACGCCTTCTTGATGCTACTTTGTGATTACATGGCTCCGGATGATAAGAGCAAAGTGAAGTTTTTCTCTTCGCTCGAGACGAAAAGACAGTGGCAGCCGAAGAAGAAGAGAAATGGTCTTGCCTTTTTAAGTGTGAGTCATTCGGCAGCAGAAAAGACATTAATGTGAACAGTAACTGACCGCTTCTTTGCGTCTAGTTGACTTGGTACTCAGTCCTCCAATATCCTGTCATTACTTGGATCACCGCTATTGTCCAAGTAGTGACACAGTCAATGCATGTCTACTGCCTTGAAAGCAACGCTCCTCATTTCGCTCACATTTGGGTATGTAATATGTTTCCATGTCTGACTGCGTTGTAAATAGTCACTAATAAGATCAACAGCTCCAAGTGGTCACATCAGTGTCAACGTCCATAGCCATCAATGCTATAATTCAATTCTATGTGAACATGAAGGGATACATGACAGAGCACAAGCCACTGCTAAAGCTAATGGCATTCAAACTGATCGTTGGTCTAATATTGCTTGAGAAGGTATTCATCAGACATCCGGAAAATGTATCCAGAAAGAAGCGGATATATCTAACACCAACTAGATTCTGTTCCTCATCCTCACTAGCACGAAAGTTCTCACATATCCGCCTTCGATGACCTACATCGACACACTGATGGGCCTCCCAACAATGCTTATCTGTGTGCAGATGGTGCCGCTCTCCTTCCTAGTCCTTTATGCCTACCGCACAAAGCCCTACGAGATCTCAACCTCAGTGAGCAGGCAGCGACCCCAGGCATACCAGGCTCTCGAGTCAGACCAGGACGAGGAGGTCTTACTGAACGACCCGCCCAAACGCTATCAAGGTGGAGCTTGGGGATTACGTGCCTGGGCTATGTACTTAAACCCGCTCGTACTGATCAAGGATGTCTATTCGGCTTATGTCATGATACATAATGCGCGGTCTCTGCAGAAGGTTCAACAGAGGGAAGAACCAGAGCAGGAGGAGATGGCAGGGTGGGAGACCAGTTATGACCCTTGTGAGAGGAGCCGACGAATGGCTTGAGAAGCCAAATTCAAAGCCCACTGCAGGTGGCGTGCATTGTGGCGGAGAGAGTGGAGGGACCCTGGCGAGGTTTTACTGCCACTGACAGGTACATTAGCTATGGAACAACAACGACCCTTTCATAAGTTTGGATGGTACGATGACTCAATCGTCGAGACGGTTTAGTTAGTTGTAGACTTTAGGTGAAAGATCCCTTTAAAACATTGCTTGTCTAACGGTAGTTCCTCGATATTTTTGCTTTCTACATCGTCAAGTGTCTCCATTACTTAGGCGGTATGAATGTTGCTATGAAGTGCCATGTTGGGTGTTTTCAGTGCCTTTATCTTGCATACATGGCAGTATAAACGTATCTTGACTACAAGGAGTGACACCTATCTAAAATAGTTAGTGCTTGAAAAACGGGAAAACATTAGCGATGTGGATAACCCTTCTGTTGTATCGAACTAGGGACACGTCAATCTCAGGAGCATACTTCAAAACGAATGACAGCAGTTGTCAAAGCTTAGACCCTCTATTCTGCTTGCCAGGAACAGGCCTTCTCTGCACACTCTGTTCAGCGGCTTCTTCCACATATGAAGGTCTGCTACCAAAGAACGTAAGAAAACCAATATCAATGGTCCATCAAACATCCGGCCCGCGACACGGGTAACTCAAGTACTTCAAGTTCCTATAATCCTCCTTCGCATGGCAACCAATCCCCCTGTTTGATCTTGATTCTGGTGACTGGGTGGGAGATTATCAAATTCAAAACCAACCGGGTGCTGGGTAGTTGGCCTTCTCCACGGTTGCCTCCTGTGCGGACTGATCATCACCCTCGGTCTATAAATAATCAAGTCAGCCCTCGTTCCTATTAAGATCCCATCCCTGTTTTCCTTTCGACGAGAAGGCATCCTGAGAATCCCCGAGGGTCATGAGTATATTGCATTCTTACCGAGGCAGTCAAGGCAAGGGTCGCGGAGACCAGCATGAGAATGGTAAGAAGAAACTTCATTCTGAATGATCGGTGAAAGGAGAACGAGCACGATGAAGTGGAACGAGAAAGAAGAAAACGCACAACGTGGAGCTCAAGGGCAAGAGGAGATATTCGAATTGATTTTGTGAAGCTAGATGTGTCTGCGGGGTTATTTCCAGTTCGTGGACACAGGCTGACTAGGTGGTTCGAGGGGGCCTTTATACTTGGACATGATAGTCAGGTCAAAGTTCCTTGCGTATAATCTGATCACCTCTGAAATTGCCATATCCAGCATTGTTTGTGTACACCTCTTTGTGTAAGCGTCATACTTAGCTGAAAGATGAGGGATGGCGAGTCATTAGGTATAGATGGATAGCAAGGATGTCAAGCAGGGGGGAGCAAACTGCATGTATGATGAATGGAATGTGTGATAGACGAAAAGACAAACATCTCACACAGGTGAGAGTATCTTGAGTGATGCCTATAAGACATCAACCCGCAATGCACTTTATGGGTCCCATTATGAATGATGGTTGTAGCGCTGCAATTCAGACTGGACAAGCATGAAAGTAGTTATGAGATGAGATTGAAACGAAGACCTTCGATCTGTACATCCATGAAGCGATAAATTGCGCCAATTTGGTACCATTGATATAATGCTGATTCTTACTATGTTGGTGTATGGCTTCTGAGCTCTGATCCACCTGTCTTGTCTTTACATGGAAGCCTCTTCCGCCACATTCGACCCCGGGATCCAGACTACGGCGCCTTGTTTTACAGCTTGCAGCCTTGTTTTTCTGACTCCTCCCCAGCTCCATTCTCTGAATATAATTACTCCTGCAAGCTGCGATGCAATTAAGGCGGATTGTGTTGGGTACTACTTGGTCATCCCAGCAGTAGCAATGATGGTGAGGGGTCGGCAACATTAAACAGGGCATACCTGAACTGAAACACAATGTCACACGCTATTGAGCCTTGCATGGTATGGTGCATGCCGAGTGGTGATCATCCGCGGCGCTACGATCAACCGACTTCCTTGCAGTGCTGTCTCGGGACGAACTTTCTGCACAGACCAAAGGTGATAGACCACTTCTTTAAGCATCGCTTCGAGGGGGTGTTTTCATAAACTACAACAGTAACATTTTCATCTCGAACTGCTTGTCATTATTGTCAGATTAACAGGGCGATAGATCCTTTTGCAATGAGTGACGCAAAGTACAAGGAATTAGATGAAGACAATGAGTCTGGAGCTTTGTTGACTCAGACCCGGACTCGAGATCATCGATCCCTCCGCCAACCCACTCTGTCGAGGCTCTTGCTCTATATTTCTCTAGGATTTAGTATTTTCATCAATCTGCTTGGGCTGTTGTATGCTATCCGACACTCCAATGATATCGTTATTCCAAATCCCCTTTTTTGTTAGTTGATCCTTCACACAAACCTTAACATCGCAACCGCGGACGTTGTTTTACTGATGCGACAATCTCGATAAAACAGCACCAGCAAACAAGCTCATAAAGTACAGAACCGTGACATTTGAAAGCGGGTTCGCGAAGAAGACCCCTTATATGGGTCCGCCCACCGAGGCTTACGACAAAGCCTGGGAGGACCTGTACAATTGTAAGATATCCTCTGCGTACCCAAGTCGCTTTGATGTAACACTTGACTGATCTGTACTCTATGATATCGTCGTTCAACGGACAAAGACGGTATCATCAAGATTCCCCAATCTGAGGCAGCCCAGCTAGTCAATTACACCATGCCACTAGCTTCCGAGCCAGGAATGTATATGGTGGAGTTAGACGTGTTCCATCAGCTTCACTGTCTGGTAATACCACCGAAACCCCTAGTTCGTCTCAAGGATCGTTTACACAGTGAAACTAATACTCCATTTTCGCAGCATCATCTCCACAAAAAGGCCTGGGGCCACGATATGGGCGTTAATATGAGTGACCCGGAGGATGTAGAGAACTTTTGGACACATTTGGACCATTGTTCTGATTCGATTCGTCAAAATCTAATGTGCTCCTCTGATCTATCAACTATCCACTGGCTGTGGGTAGAAGAAGACCAGATATGGAAAGCAGATGGCCGAGTGATGCACACCTGTCGCGACTTTGAGGCGATTCGGGGCTGGGCGTTCGAAAACAGGGCAGGTATGATAGATCGTACTGTGTGGGTGCCGGATCCGTTGAGGGGGGAGATCTAGGAAGCAACTTCGAGTTTCCCAAGGAAACCCTTTCCAGTGGTCATGCAAAATGGTTGTGTGCATTTGTTTGGCCACTTCGTGATTTCGGGCCTGTCTATTGTGGAGCTGCTGCACAATGCACCCAGATCAAGTAAGGAGTATGTCAGTACGTATCGCGTCCCACCCGTCCGAAAGGGCAACATTCCAACTGGCAAAGCGGCACCCCCAATTTCTCGAACCAGCTTGCCTACTGTCATATTGTAATAGAGGTCTTTACACAGTGTACCTTGATACTTTCTCGAAGCCGTAATTCCTACGAAGCGTGACTATGTGGTCTCATTGGATCACGATGCCCCTGCACTGTTGTTCTCGACGCTGAAGTGGCCTGGGTCAACTTAGGTGTACGACAACTCTCCGTGCTATTACACTCTGCTTTACCTCTACACCAGAAGATAAAACTATTTCTCTTTCTGGATAAGCAAAGGTAGAAGATATCTTGTTTTGCACACCATTATACGGGATAGCCTGTCCCAACATGCTCACTTACAACGTGGCCCTGGCCTCATGGGACACCGCAACCACGAGTAGTACTGCCTCGTATTCTGAGCTCTAGTAGACTTAGAAGGAGGTGCGCGCAGCTTTGGTGGTGTCACTCAACTGACTCTGTGATGCTCCCCATTCACTCCAACATCGGCAGGGATCATATCTCAGGCTTCGAGATTGTCAAGGTGGTGTGGTCGCACCGCATCAGCGTTCAGCGCGTCAATCCGCGCCGCCGCGGAGATGATGAAATCAACCTTTCGCAGTGGGCGCCATTACCTGCTGCACGTACATCATCCCTTAGGCTCGAAGACCACCAGACAGACAACTCTACCGAAAACTCAGGTGTGTGCCACCAATTCGTCCTGCAGCGGAACTCGTTCGCAACCACGACCATGTTACTACAAATTGAGACATCATCATGGGTATACGCGAGGTTTTCGAGGAGGTGATATGCCCCCTGCGCAAGATGAAGGCGGTGACTTCCACCCTGGTGATTCAGCCCTTGCTTCGCTTGTCGACAGCCAAAGGTGACCGCAAAATTGTAAGAGTACTCTTCACCCGGTGTCGGCGCATGGTCACAGCTACATTGGATCGAGGTCGCGCGAGATTATTTAAAAGCCCGACGCGGTAGAGAAAGCGATGAACATTATGAGTCAACCGTATCGGTAATCGATTGATTGTCGAAATAGTGTAGGATACTTCAGGGCAATGATGTTACGGAAGGTTTGACAAGTTCTGGTTTCAGACGGGCGCCATCATTGCGGACGTCTTTGTGGTTTCGAGCTCAGCTCAGAGGGGATATAGACTACTACAACAGCATCAGCCCAAACGAATTTCGTGATAAGTACGACTTTAATTCATAAGTGAGGAAGAAGGGGTAATGATGATAATTGTATCTAAGAAATTAAAAAGAAATTAATACAGGATAATCACACGGCCGTCCGGACATATACAACAACATAAGAAAAAAACGAACCCAAGCAGCCACTACGGCTGTGAACCTCTTATTTCCCTGAAGCCACACAATATTAGTATGGCTAACTCGTCGTGTATTCAGATAATACGGTGTCTAACGTGATTGCTCTACCATCCTCAAGGCCTCCTCGAACTCCTCAATTGTGCGCGGGGTAAACTTCACATTGGGGGAACGCAACCTATGATTCAACGCATTAGCGCAACCTCACCACAGGATTGTATGGACAGCAGAGCCACGGAATGGATGGATGTCAAGCATACCCCCAACGAGAACGACAGGTAAACCAAGTACAGAGAACACCCAAGAGAACCCCGAACAACACCGCCAGCACGGCGAACCCAACGACGGCAACGACCCCTTGTGGGGTTTGGAGGAACGACATTTGCAATTTTGAGGGGAGGGGAGGGGCGGGGGCGGGTTTTTCCTTATTTTTTAGAGAGAAAAGAGTTTTCTTTTCGAGAAAAGCAGCGAGACAGGAGGATCCTTTCTTATGTGAGAGTGGGATGCTACTGGGATGGTGTCTACGTTCTGCTTGCTATACATCAACTTCTAAATTTCGAGACACCTGGGGAAAGAACAGTGCTTAATTCCAATGCCACCTTCCTTTGGAAGCACAAGTATATATCATCGGAAGTTACTTAGCCCGAGAGTGATCAGGGACAGGGTTAAAACACCGGAAGCCGCGTACAACCGACTACCTGTTGCCAAATAATATATAATCACGGGTACTCCAATGCTGCAATATGCATTGTGCTCCCCAACACAACCCTCTGCATGAGAAGGATTAGAGCGCTGCTAGTTGATTCACTTTGCAGACCGGATAGCAAATAGATTGAGTATATCTTGAAATCATGCAGAGCGAGGAATACATATGACCGGCGACTACTCTCCAACGCTACCCAACTTATACTGCGCCCTCAAGATTTTAACGATGTGATCAGCCAATGACCCCAAATTGCCAGCCTTTGTGATTTCAGACAACGGGACATGAAGATGAATAGTTCGCCGCACCCAACTCCTCATCTCAATTGCCACCAGCGAGTCGATTGCAAAACCGGCAGCCTCTTCATCAGTCAGTTTTCGACCATTCGAGATCGTGCCCGCAATAAGGTGAGCCATGTTCCGTTTGAACTCGGTAATCGCCTCAGTCTTATTCAGCAACGAAGGGTCTTGATGGACATTGTTAAGGAATTCGCGCAGCCGATGCTCAGGTCCGTCCATTCCCTCATCCATCGACGCCTGCCCTAAGTTGCTGTGCATAGCAAATCGGGCATCGCGCCCCCATAACCGCATGAGTGGAGCGCTCTCACTCTTACCTGTTTTGTCGGAAATGCCTACGTCCAGTATTCCCGAGCACTGCTGATTTGGAAGGGAGTCTTCAATGCTGACTTGGAACGAGTCAAGGACGGCCCGTTCTGTTATGGGCTGAGCCGAGGCCACGCTGGTCGTTTGGGCAAAGTCCGCCCGCTCACTGATGATGCCTACATCTTCAACCGGGCCCAGATTCAGGACCGACGCCGCCAAACCACGCTGTCTCCGGTATGTGGCAAGCCCGGTCAGGAATGTGTTTGAGGCCGCGTAGTTAGCCTGACCAAGGGACCCCGCGGAGCCTGCGATCGAACCGAACATGACAAAGAATGACAGGTCCATGCCCTGGGTTGCAGTGTGTAGATTCCAGGTGCCGGTGACTTTGGGGGCTAGCCCGCTATCCCATTCTTCCGGTGTCATGTGCTCGAAGGTTCGGTCCTTTCAAATGACTATCAGTTCATGGTGTCGATAAAGGTGGTAAGTGGCGGTTGTCAAACCTGCAAATTCAATGCCATCTGGATGACGCCAGTGAGACGGTTCGTACACTTTCCGATTGCTCGTTGAACATCGGCGGGGTCAGTAACAGTGCCTGCCACACAGCTAACGCGGCAGCCTTGAACCTCTAGCTCCTTTAAGAACTTCCGATGTTCATCCTTCTCAGCGGATGGGGAGAGGTACACTATCTCGCGAGCCCCATGTTCAACTAGCCACCGAGAGACTGATCTCCCAATGCCACCGAGGCCCCCGACGATGAGATACGCTGCATTGGCTGGAAAAGAAGCCTTGGATTTCACGGGCGCGCATGGTAACTGCGCCGGATCTGGTGTCATCTGGATTACGACTTTTCCCATATGCTTACCCGTCTGTAGGTATCGGAAAGCCTCCTTCACCTGGGCAGTATCAAAAACATGAATAGGCCGAATGGGTCGGATCTGGCCTTTCTGGAAAAGCCCGAAGCATGTCCTCACTGTGCTAAAAGGATATCAGTTTCTCCAGACTCAAACACATGGGAATGATGCGTATATGTACCTTATCGCTATATCAGGACGATCCCGACTGACGTTCGCAAGGTTCACCGCATGGAACGAGCGGTCTTCGGCAAACGGGCTCAGACTGAGCATTCCATGGGATAGAATGTCTCGTCGTCCAATTTCAATCATTTTCCCATAGGCTGCCACACATTCCCAGGATGCATGTAGTAACTCACCACTTAGTGAGTTGAGGACGATGTCGACTCCACGTCCATTAGTAGCCCGCATAATATCCGGCAGGAATGATGTATTGCGGGAGTGGAAGATCTGCGCTCTGGGAATCCCATGGGTGTTGACAAGGTACTCTGCCTTCTCTTCGTTTCCAACTGTGGCGTAAATCTGCATAGAACATTAGTATCCGCACGAAGTGCTATGATGAAAAGCCAAATGGGCGACTTACCGTAGCACCGAGCATTTTGCAAATATTTATGGCTGCGATACCAACCCCACCTGCAGCGGAGTGAATGAGGACCGACTGGATCGGCCAGTTAGTCGACATCTTCCCTGTACATTATATAACAGCAAGTGAACTGACCTGTTTCTTTTGGAGGTTCCCAACCTGCATTAGCGAGTAAATAACCGTGGAATAGACTGTCAGCATAGCTGCACCATCTTCCAAAGCAAGGCTATCTGGTAACTTCGAAAGAGCCTCTCGACGTAGAACCGTACGGTTGCAGAATAACCCGGTCCCCATTGCCCCAACGCGGTCCCCAGGGGCCAGGTCAATGACATCCGGAGCAACTCGACGCACCACTCCGGTTGCTTCTAGACCCATATCGTTTGGGTTCCCTATAAGTCCCATGGCAACCAAAGTGTCCTACTTTGCCGTTAGAGATACCATCAGACATGGAGAGAAACATAGGAATTTACCTTGAAGTTCAGCCCCACGTAGCTCATCTCAACCTCAACCTCTCCACTCTCTAATTGTAGAGGCACTACACCAGGTACCCACTGCAGTGTACTAGTCAGACCAACTTGCTGGATTCCCAACTTCCGTGGTGTATCTATGGGAGGATGCGTCGTGAGCTGATCCGACAGGGATGTTCGATAGGACCGAGCGGTGTGAACAACGCCACCGTCTAGAATGAACTCGTACTCCAGATCAGTATCTGGTATTTCGCGAGCCTGCTGAATCTTCTCATGCAAGTCAATTATTGTCTCGGGTGCAGGCTTTCCATCGGTGTCCATCTCCAAGAGTGAGAGATCAAGCAGTAGTTCGCGTCTCAGTACCCGAGCAAGACCATGGATAATACTGAAGCGCGGATCCGTGCAGCTAAGTGTACTTGGCTGCGCCACCCATAATATTCTGCATCCCTTACTCTGCATTAGGAAGCGCTGGAGAACCAAAAATTCTTCCTGGGAAGACTGAGTGAAGTATGGACTGTCAACCTCCAGTAGCGAAACGATGTTCTGATTATTACAGGGCGAGCCATCCAAGGTTGACCAGTGGACTTCATAGCCCCTTCTTCGGAAACACGCTGCCACATCTCCAGGCCATCCTGCCTCTTCCGGGTTAGACGCCAGGATAGTTACCTCTCTGTCAGTGATTGGCTCCTGAACAGGCCTAGAGATGATGGTGAATAACGGCTGAACCGAACCCTCGAGATCGCGCTCGATTGTCTCGCCTCCAGTAAATCCAGCTGCACGAAGCTTCTTGTTCCATTCCTCCCCTGAGATGTAAGGTTTGTCGGGGCGTCCATCGTTTTCACCCAACCACCAGCCAGGAAGCGCACCCTGCAAAATGAGTCGAAGGGTTAGCGCAGTGCCGTGGACATGCCGTTCATAGAATGAAGACTTACCACCACGTAGTCTGTAACAGGTGTATCTAGAAGTGTCTCTTAGAAAGGGCTTTTCACATAAGCGAATAGACGAAGATGCTTACCCGAATCAATCTCCTGTAGCAGGAAGCGCCCATTCTTAGCAAGCAACTTTTTGGTATGTAGCAAAGCCTCATGCAGATTTGGAGCGACGTGCATAACCTAGGTCAAGGTTAACCGGGGCCGGACTGTGTACATAATTCACTTACGTTGGAAGCGATGATCAGGTCGAAGCTGTGCTCCTCAAAACCTTGTTTCGTTGGATCACGTGTGATATCCAATGTTCGGTATTCCATATTGGCCTGCCCCTTGAACTTCTCTTGGGCAGTGACGAAGAATCCCGCGGAAATGTCTGTGAAGACATAGCGAGAGAATAGCTGTGCGCCAGTCGGAGACCTCAAAGAAGAGAGCGCCATTTCGCTCATAGAGCCTGTTCCGGCGCCAATCTCTAGGACTTTCATCAATGGATTCGAATGTCCAAGAAGGGAAAACACTTCCGTCAGATCAGTCTGCCGGGACACTGTGTCTTCGTAAAACCTTTCCAGTCTATTGCTGGCCACGAGTACCTCTAGCGGGGAGCATTTTCCAGACATGAAATCGACAGCATTTTTGTAGACTGCCCTCATACATTCAATGATGGCCAGACCGGGGAGGTCGGCCGGTATACTCTCAAGGCAGTTGTAGATTCTCTCTAACAAATCAGCTGGAGGTATATAATTCCACTGACTTAGACCTTCACAGGTAGTAGACAGCCCGTCGCTGAGTATGGCTGACGAAGGTACCAGAGCTTCTTTCACTGCACGGAGAAGGACATCCTGCGTCTCCGGCTGTACTTCCTCGATCCAACTTGAGAGTGGCTGCAGATTTGCATGCACGCCGGCGCGAATCTTAGCGGCCTCCGAGAGCATCCAAGATTTCCATTTCAATAGATGCCCGGTGGATGAATCGATATGTTCAATTCGCTCAGCTGTGGCTCGAATGTGTATCAGAGAAAGGAGCCCAAGAATCCTACGGTGGGTGGCATGTCCACGATTGGGATGCGGAGGCAGGATCTTGTCAGGTGCCAGTAAGTCGATATCTGGCTTCCAATGTATTCTTGAAAGTAGGTCGGTGTCATCCGCCCTTGTCTTGTTAGACCCTGCTAGGCCAGCCAGGACTCCGCCTTCGAGGCTAAAAATTGCCTGGCCCTCAGTGATACCGATGATCTTTGCCTGCTGCCCTTTTTCTTTATCTTCAAAAGTCCGAGCTTCGAAAGAAACCCGTGACCATGTCCTGTTATCCACGACAAGGCGCTCAATCTTGGCGGGAATAAAGGCGCCCGAAATGGTGTGCAACCTTCCTCTTGATGCAGCTATACCGATTAGCTGAAGGGCTTGGTCGATCACAGCAGGATGGAGAGGGTAGTGGGTGCCTTTCTGCATTTCAGGCTGGTATACAGTGGCAGCTGCAGCATTGTCAATTGGATCTGCGGTTATGTTCTGCAGACGCTGGAAGTGAGGACCGTATTGCAATCCACATCGCTGGACTGTGCGGTACCACCGTAAGGGTTCCACTACTCTGGGCAAGGGGCTGACCTCTCTACTATTAGCAGAAATAGGGCAGTCACTGCCTGCACGTACGCAGCCCCTGCAGTGCACCGTCCATTTAGCCCCGTCGAATGTGGATACAGAAAAGCTGTACCACCCGGACATGACGCCGTCTGCCAGCTCAATTGGCTTGAGGCTTGAAATAACCTCAACCGAAGCATCGCTGGCTAAAATTAGGGGAGACTCAAACCGAATGCTCTGTATCGTATAACGGTCCAAACTAGATTCTGATTGGCTATCGAGGATATTCAACTGCCTAATGGCTTCGCCGGCCATGGCAATATACCCGGCAGCTGGGAAGACGACCTCGCCGTGCAGGACATGGTCCGACAGCCATGGCACGTCATCTAGCCGCAGCACATTTCTCCATGATGGTTCCTGGGTTGTGGCTTCCATTATCATCGAGCCAAGTAGCTCATGGTGAGGGAGTGATCGTAGCCGCCAATCGCGACTTGGTCTACCCTCGCTCCAGTACATGTCAGTATGCGTCCATGGAAAGCGCGGGATATCGCTGAGGAGTCTACCGGCTTCCACAATCATGAGAAAGCTGATAAAAGACCCTGTGTTGAACACATGTCCAGCAGTTGCGAGCAGCAGGGATTGTTGGTGGTCATCGTTGCGTGTAAGGGTGGGTATGTACACGGGAGGTGACCGAGGAGCAACTTGAAATATCTGCCGAAGAGGCGCAGATAAAGCGGAATGTGGTCCGACTTCTATGAATAGCTGGCTACCCTCCGTCTCTTTCTGGAGAAGCATTTCTACTGCCTTTGAAAAACGAACAGGAGATTCAAGATTCCGACGCCAGTAGCTTGGTCCGAGTTGAGAAGGATCAGCAATGATATCCCCAGTGACAGTAGAAATCATTGGTCGCATATGTGGTCCTGGATTCATATGAGGTACAAGAGCATCTTCATATGACGTTCCGATATTCTCCATTTGCGCTGCAGAATCAATGTCAATATATATTTTTAGTGGCTCGGCACAGGATATGAGGCATGTTGCTTAGCGTCAAGACTTACGAGAATGGTAGCCAACCTGGACACGCAGCTTTCGACAGAAAGTTCCCGGAAAAGCCGCGGTAATATTACTGATTACCTGGGGAATCTGCTCCTTGGGTCCTGAAATCGTCACGTTACGAGGACTGTTTTCACAAGCGACGACCACCCCGTTGACGAGGAACGGTAGAACTTCCTCATGGCTCAATCCAATAGATGCCATTGCACCGGAGCCCTCCTGTAACTTGGCCAGTCTTCCACGGTAGAATGCAATAATGATAGCTGATTCAACTGTTATCGCACCTGATGCGCAGGCTGCAGCAATCTCACCGCTAGAATGACCAACTACAGTGCTCGGTTGAATACCCCAGTGTGCGAGGATCTGGAGCAAACCGAGCTGTAGGGCAGTGCACAGTGGCTGGGCTAGCTCGACTTCATTGACACGCGACTCAGTGCCCATGCGTGATAGTTCCTCTATATTCAGGTTAGTATCTGTCAGTGCATGCAGCCTGCAGGCTACTGACCAATTAATGACCATTCTGGCGGCTCTGCCAAGTTCTGAAGCACCTTATCCATCTGCTTAATCGCATTATGGAATAGAGGCTCAGTTTCGAGAAGCTGCCTACCCATTCCCGCCCATTGCGCCCCTTGTCCAGTGAACACGAACGTTAACGTAGGAGAGGGAAGTGTCTTTGGTGACATGTGAAATTGGGACTGGTCCACTGGCGTGTTCGGGTAGACCACCGCGAATGCCCGATGATTGTGATGCTCCCGTCGTGATGCTAATGTATATGCCAAGTCGTGAACGCTCGTGGGATTAGAGGTTATATAGCCTGCTATGTCTTCTATGCGACGTTGTAAGGACTCTTTGTTGTGAGCAGAAACCACTACGAGGTGCGGACGGTCTGATTCCGGGTGGGACATCTTCTGTACCCCAAATGCAGCCGCCGAGTCCAAGATGGCATGCGCGTTGGCTCCGGCTATACCAAATGAATTGATACTCACACGTTCCTGGCGGTCATTTGGCCATGGGTGGGCTTTCACTGGAACCTCAATTCCGGAGCCTTCCTTCTGGACAGCGGGATTGGGCTCATGAAAATTGATGTTTGGTGGGATGGTGCGGTGTTCAAGGGCAAGGGTTGCTTTGATGATGCTAGTGAGACCCGAAGCCCCCTCGGAATGACCACAGTTTGGCTTGACCTGTTTTACCATCAGGTTAGGTTATAGAAATCCCGAAAATCACTTACACTACCCATGAGTACGCCATGGCCCTCGAAGAGCTTGGCCACAACTGACGTCTCAACCGAATCTCCAGCCGACGTACCGGTCCCATGGCATTCGAAAAAGCCCGTGTCGCAGATTTTATGTATCTGGGCCTGTTTGTATGCAGTTCGTATGAGCGCCTCTTGCGCGGTTCCGCTGGGGTTAGTCATGACCGCCGTCCTCCCGTCAAAATTGACGGCCGTGGATCGTATTACCGCACGAACACAGTCGCCATCTCTCAGGGCGTCGCTGAGGCGCTTGATATAGACTGCATTAATTGCCTCTCCACGCCCATACCCGTCCGCATTGGCATCAAAAGTTTGACACTCACCCGAAGGCGACAGAACACCGTTTTGGTTCATGACGCTTGTCATCGTCGGTGTCAATATAAGGTTGGTGCCAGCAACGATGGCAGAGGAGCATTGCCCAGAGCGAAGACCTTGACAAGCCTCGTGCAAGCCGACCAGTGAAGCGGAGCATCCGGTTTGTATAGTCATGCTATGGCCTAGTCAGCATTGTCCAAGGAAGCCAATGTTCAGTGATGCTAGTCATACCTCGGCCCACGAAAGTCAAATTCATATGAGATTCGGTTTGACAAGGCAAAGCCTCCGGTAGCCAGGGCAAGATGGCGATCTGGACAGGGGTCTAGTCCCTTGAGAGACAACTCCAGCCAATCCTCCCCAAACACTCCGACAAAGCAGCCTATGTCCTTTCCGCGCCAACTGGTTTCGCCGGAGTCTTCGAGGCACTCCCACACTACTTCAAGGAGCAACCTTTGCTGGGGATCCATGAGCCTGGCCTCTCTGGCACCAACGGAGAAGAATCCGGCATCAAAGTACGCAGGGTCCTCCTCCAAGAAGTATCCGGTCACCGGGGCGGTAGAGGGGTGAAAAAAGGAATTCGCGTTATACCGACTATTGGGAACAGGGCCATGCCCGCTTTTTCCGGAGACGAGCATGTGCCAGAACTCATCTGCGGTGTGAACGTTTCCGGGTAATCTCATGCCCATGCCCACAATGGCAATGGGTTCATCTGCTGCGCTTTCGCTTTCGCGACAAAAGCTTCTTTCGTTCATGGTAGTGCTCATCTTTGCTAGTAGTCCAGTTCGGACGTTCTCTCATCGTGATAATGGCCTTAGCGCGGGAGAAAAACATAATTTTAAGCAGTCCTTCTTCGCTATGTGTAGCTCAAGACGTAGACTATCGGTGATGGAAAAGCAGAGTATGCTTGATTACATCTTCATTTCCATAAAGGGCAATTTGCATTGGTCGTCTGACGGCAAAAGCCTATGTATGTCTCTAATGCTGTGCGATGCCGATGATTTGTGCAGCACAATATGGACTCAGAACGGCACGTTTCACAACGTCTGCGGGAGCAGCCCTTGCAGGCGATGGACAATAGGGTCTACATTCTTGCTCCAGGACAGATGTCTTGAATTTTCCCCTGCTTTTTTCCTTCTTCCTGTATATCTAAGTTTATCCGAAATGCAAAAATGGCGGGGTCAAGGGTACTCGCAAACAATGGTTGTCTAGCAGAGTTTCTGACCGCCTCTTGTAGGTCGACTAGTGACTCTTCGTAACATAAGCAAAGGCCCTTTTGTACATGATCTGTAGTCAGTAAGGAGTAGGCTCAAATCTATGTATTAACGTGGTCTACCATGTTTACACTGACAGCCTTTCAGAACAAGCCAATTTTGTTGCATCATTGTGCTACCACATCACTTTTGCATTTGAATTCTTTAAGTTTCGATAACTTCTCATTGCAGGTCACACCGCACAGTGTCTTCGCAGCCATATGAGGGGCCTTCAATCCCAGTTTGTATGTTTTGAGTGAAATATGCTAGGCTCTTAGATCTGACATCAGATCTGTGTACCTCTGCTCGAAGTCGCGGAGCAATTCCAGGATTTCCGACGTAAACCCATTCGCACAGTGCCTGAGAAGTGCCGCCCGTAACCCTTCCTTCGCTTCATAGATCTTGCGCAAGACCGCCTGGACAATCGAAGATCCGCTGGGGATCTTCTTCACAAGGGGGGCCTACATTTATCAGTATACATTATCACACTAGAAGCCTTCCAGGTAGTATACCTTGCTTGCAGTAGCCACAATAGCCTGAGTCAGGGCGTTGATCATTTCGTAGGTAGCAGTCAAGACTTGATCTTCCTCGTCCCGGCCTTCTGTGACCTCTGTGGATGCGATTCGTTTCTGTGCGATCAAGGCACTATCGTAGACCTTGTAGGTGCCCCGAGTCAAGTAAAGCAGATTGCTCATACCGCCCTGATATTGTTCGATTTGGGAGGTCATATCTTTCATAGTTTCCGTGAGCATGTTCAATTCCATGACCATGTCCGCTGTTGAAGCATAAGGCTTTCCCGAAGAACGTGGAGCAAATGCTCCTACAAAGGACTTTGAACCCGTCATAGCGATGAGGGATTAGGAGAATCCCGTATTACCTTTGCTTTGGGAAGACCTGATGGTAGATTAAGGTGAAAGAAAACAGGCTACTGGATATATCTATGGAAACAAGAAACACGAGTCCTCTGGATCTGTGTTTTTCATCGTAAGAAACATCAAGGAATATATTCTCCCTTGCATCTGCTGAAGGTAGAGCCAATGAATAGGCAACAATTATTTCAAGGTTGAGATGCCGTTCACAATATATTCTGAAGGGTTACACAGGACGTCCTGCAGCACAAACCCGAGGGCGCATGCTTTCGTCAGCCCCTGTCGCTTTATCTTGTTTCTACGACTGCTATCGCACGATGTGACACAAATGAATCTGGCATTCTTGAATACTAATCACTTCGATGATAAACTAATCCATGAAAGGGAGCTCTTTGCAGATAAGCCTTTTCACCCCAAATGACGGAGGTTGATGATGTCATTTGTGTAACGGACCACTAGCTCCTCGTAATCATCCCTTCGATCTCTTGATGCGCAATTGGACTCCGTTCTCGTGACACATGGTCAGGGTCTGCCGCAATGGAGGGTTGAGCCCCATGTCTGGCCCTGGCTGAGCGCTCTCAACGGAGTCCAGGTGTTGAACTAACCTGAATACCTGCTGGCTAATCAGGATTATGGCAAATTGCTCTGTTCGAAGCATTCTAGTTAGCAACAAGTTTCATCGGGTATCCTTGCCAGGACGCTGATTTGCTAGAGGGAACTCACGGCCAAGACACGCTCTGGGTCCACCATTGAAGGGAACGAAGTCCCACGCCGGTGGGTTGCATTCTTCCCATCTCTCCGGTCGGAATCTCTCAGCATCTGCGCCCCAGATATCCGGACGCCGGTGAAGGCACCAGACTGAATAGGCGACCATTTGCCCCTTGGAAATGAACACTGGCGATCGACCATCCGGACCACCTCCGACGGGAATTGTTGTATCATGATGGGCAACTCGCGCATTCACAGGAACGGGAGGGAAGAGGCGAAGTGCTATCTCAAACGCTTAGCAGATGTTGATAAAGGAAGGATGAATTTGAATGGTTCAGAGAATAGTGAAATAAATATCCCGTGGCTCACCTTCGTACAAGACACCGCGCAGATAAGGGAGACTTTGTATCTCCTTCAGGGTGATATTGCTCGCGTGTTTGTCCACCGCATCGGTGACTTCCTTTTTCAACTTACGCCACGCGACAGAGTCTCGGCCAAGAAGATAAAAGATGGATGTGAGCACGCTGGCAACGTCGTCTCGACTGGCTAAAAGAACATTAACCAACTGATCCCTCAGGAAATCCCGATCTTGTGTCTCAGCCGCCAGTGAGTGCAGAAAACAATATTCTCCTCCTTTCTGTTCAAGGCTACTCCCGGTGCTGTTGATCTTGCTTCTGTATTCGATTGCCTTATCAACGTAGTACTCCACGAATTTGTGAACAACACGAGTGGACTTTCTGAATTCGCTTGAGTCGATCAGCCAGTAGTAAGAAAGTGCGAGCGTTCGCTTGAAGAGAATATCTTGGGCGTAATCGAACGCCGCAGCAAACCCTTCGTTTCTGCGATCTGACGTTTCCGCGATACCTGTCTGGTTGGAGTTTGGCTTAACGAGGGAACTAATAGACTCTCCAAATAGATAGCCCGTAGCAGAATCTAATGCCAATCGGAACGCAAGCGGCTGGATATCAAAGATGTGCCCATCGGGTGGCAGTGCTTGCATTAGGTTCTTAGAGTGAGAGTCAAACCATTCGATCGAGGGTATCTATGACACCAATCGCGTTAGATATGCTACATCAGACCAGTCTATGAGTGATCAACCTACTTGATTCTTCGTAAACTGGGGGCGTAGCAACCTCCTCGAGTGCTCCCAGGCTGACCCGTCAGATGTGAATATCCCTCCTCCAAGCAATGGGCGGTATTGTGGGTAACGCCACTTTGATAGTCCGAAGCTGGAAAACTGCGAGGCTAAAAGCGCCTGTATATTCTCTGGTTCGCAAGTAACGACAACGTCGTGACCCACAAGATTCAAGTTCAGGGTATTTCCATACTGCAAATGACCCTCATGCAAAGTAGATCCAACTTGGCCTTCTTGAGCAGCAGTTTTCAAGCGCCAGACCGCTTTGTGACCAAACAGGCCACTTGGATAGGAGATTACTGGCTCGCAATTCCATTGCTTCGATATCTTCCGAGACCTATAGCTTCTGCTAATAATCCGATAGAGCTGCAGTGCCGCCGAGGCTGAGAAGAATGTGGCCAATAACAGGGGGATTGCAGACCATAGCATTTTCGATAAGTAGAAGTAATTCACAGAGAGTGTAAGGCAGAATATTGTATATATTTTGGCAGAACTGCAGTCAGCTACCTGTGGGGCCTTTTCCAACCGGCTATATAAAAGTTGGAAAGTCGTACAATAACTTCTTTGTCCTACCTTCGGAAAAGAAGTTTGCGATAGATGATGTGAAATCAGAACATTCAACCTTTCCCAGTTTCCCCTTTTACGTACGTGCATATTGGTTACATTCCAGCACCTTGTATCCTTCCTATCCTTGCATCGATGGCGTCAGGTACGGAACCTGTTTCTGATATAATATTCGTCGGGTGGGTTACAAAAGGAAGGTCCACGAGTCATTGTTAACCTTGGTCTGCCTATGGCTTGAATACACTAGTAAGGACTTCTTCGATTCTCGGGTGAATATGTACTATGATGCTTCACACCACCTCTATCTATACATAGACAATATACATGTTCAGGATAGTGGTAGTGAGCCATCAAGTCCATATGGCCATAGAGAACGCCTATCTAAGACTCTGGCTCCATAAATACGATTTTGGCATGCATCAGAAGGCCGTCTTTCCAGAATATAATGGTTTATATTTGCCTTTTGTCCCACTTAGCTTTGATGGACAAAAGGTACGAGCATATGTGAGAAAGGTGGCTTGGTTTGTCTAAGCCTTCGGGTGTAAAAGGCCATGGATGGAAAGAGAGCCCTTGTCGCGAATCAGAAGCCATTACGTTCCCATATGTAACGTGTCTCGGACTACTCAGTTTAGACCTAGAGATACTGGGATCAAAATAGCACATTGGCCATACCAAAACGAGAGGCCATGTATACCCTACCTGGTGGCACGGCAGCCCTTCCATATGCGTATGCATTCTTCCCTTTCACCTCAAGCAGGCTGCGGTGGCGGTTGCTAAGCATCTTGTGGGCAGGGTCTATTGAACTTTCATTTCCCGCGGTAGTTAGCAGCATAATTTCCGTCATGTGTGACAATGTCTCGAAGCAAGATTGTGACTTAGGGTTAGAATGTAGCCAATGGGTAACTATATGCCAACGTATCTACTAAATTGGTAATGTTATCGACCCTTGCATATTTATCCCTTTTGTATGTTCTTGTGACGGTATTGAGACGTGACAAGTCGAAAGATGCACGCTGACTTCATGAAGAAGGATATGCCGGTTGGTAGCCGTAGTACAGCATATGCACAATTCCTATTGGTCTGCTGCAGTTGTCAGATATGGAATAAGGGGGAGTCTAAGCATTGCTTCTCAACACCCCCTCTATGAATATGCCGATGTGAAACATGCAGTCAGTTGTACTTGAACAACAAAACTTTGTGTTACCCAGGGTGTTGCAGTGTGGCACATTAAACTTTTCCTTTATAACAACTTCAGCCAGCCACGTAGACCTCCTGTCCGGAAATCTCTACACACCCTTGATACCACCAAGAGCGCAAGAGCTGGTTTCTAGTGGCCTACAACCTGTTGCTAAGTACCAGCATTCAGTGCACACATAGCATTTACCACATTCCCTCCTTTGGTTCGCCAAACTACAAGTGCAACTAGCTTTCACTTCTGCCCAGTACGAAAGCGGACATTGATTAGATGCTCAATATGGAAAGACACGTTGAATGGTTTCGCGATCAAGTGGTTTTCCTGACTGGGGGCACAGGAAATCTAGGCGTATGTCTTCTATACAAGCTCACTCTGCAGTTACCCACCAAAAAGATTTTCTTGCTTTGTCGTGGCTCCGTGCAGCGTGCACTCGACAAGCTAGAGGCAGCAATGGCGGAACAATTTGACGATGTCCTAGACTCTCATCGCGTTCAGTTCATGGTGGGAGATACCTCCAAACCCGGGCTAGGGTTAAAGCCTTCGGATCTACGACAACTACAAGAGGAGGTTACCGTGGTGATCAATGCAGCGGCAGACATTTCGCTACAACAACCACTTCATCTCAGCATCCAGCCAAATTGCATAGCCCATCTACAGCTACTCACACTGCTTCGTGGATTTAGTCGCCTTAAGTCCTTCCTCCACGTATCGTCCACATCAGTGAACAGCTTTCTCCCTGACGGTATTATTGAGGAACAGATATATCCACTTTCTGATGAAGATCCAGACCCAGAGAAAGTTTTGTCACAAATCCTTAGTACGGGGCAATCAGCCTACACGGATAATTGTATCGCGCCTTACGCATTATGCAAGCATCTGGCGGAGAGGCTAATCTTGAAGCAAGCCGATCTGCCCTTCAACACACTCATTGTGCGACCGTCCCTTATCGGGCCAGCCATCCGCGACCCGTATCCCTTTTATGGAAATGATGAAGGCATGCCCTTGCAATCTGCACTCTACAACCTGGCAACGGACCCGGATTACGGGTTAGGTGAGCTTGGAAAGGGAATCAACCTGGACGCCGTCTTCGACGAGATCCCTGTCGACCTGGTCGCCAGTACTTGTCTTGCTCATCTAGCTGCTGGTTCGGTAGGTATTGTTCAGGCTGCGGGTAGTCTCTATGTGGCAGCGACGACTGGTGAGATTGCCACCATCATGATCCAGGGCACGGCACCGACAGGAATCGAGAAGGTCCGTCGCGGAGAGATACGCCAGAGCCAGAATTTGGCACCAATGTTTTTCCAAGTGGCGCGGAAATATATGCGCAACTGGGATATTCGGTGTGATCGATCGGAGCATCTGAAGGAGCATACCGGTGTCTTGGGGCTTAGCCTTGATGGGCATGATCCAAACGCGTTCATGAAGCATCGCTTGCAGAATGTGTGTGATTTGGTGTTTGGTTCGTCTTCGACTTAGTCCTCGAGCGGCCGGCAACACCATTTGAACCAGATGCATGACAGTCGGATTTTAGCAGCGATTTGCCGGGGTATTGCTGTCTTAGTGATCTGTCTGCTTATTAGTCTACAGAAAGCAGCTGACTCACCTCACCATTTATGTTCATATACTAAGCCCGTCCACCTGCTTTCAGCATAATGTTGGTAAAATAGAGGTATCGGGGACCCGATTGCTACCCGTGCTACCTAGCCCAAACATCGAGTAGAAGAATATCTTCAGTGCTAGAAGAGGGCAAAAGCCATTGATCTTGTCGGATTAACCAGATAAGGCCCCCAAGTAGATACACTCGCTCCCGTGGCGTACCTACTATCGACAGGCTGGGGCTTTATTTCTGCTTCGGGAGACAAGCCATCGGTCCGCACTTCTAGGTATTTCATTCCGTCTTCAGAGTCACATCACTCCAATATCAGAACCTGTGGACTCGTCACGTCACACAGGCGATATTGGTGCAAGAGATGTTGTGTCTCGAGCGCCTAAGAGGTAGACGTTGAAAACTCAAGTGGACGGAACCATAAACTGCGCTGCACCGTTGTGCCGGAAAAAGCCCAGAATCTGTATCAAGGCATACTGACGCTTTGTTGACGTTGCCGATCACTCCCCATAGAGATACTAGTCAGGATCATGGAGAGCTCCGAGGTATTATTTCCCAACTTCATTATCAGGGGGAGTTCCAGACTCTGCGATAAGTGCGCCGTTCTGCCCACTTCACAAATACCTCATTATGTTGGCAGTCCAAGCAACACCCCCAACAAAAGGTGATGACGAATGTACCTTTCTTAATGCAATATGAGAAGCCCAGCGTCTCTTGATTATGATTTATGATAAGCCTCTGAAGCGAATGCTGTGTGCTCACCACGAACGGGAAGATTGGTATCTTTCAAAATGGCTGCGCGCAGAATGTACGCGGTCGGGAGGGTGTTGTGGACGGGCATGCGGGTGCTGTGAAAGACAGAGGAATGAGATGCATCCACAGTACAAAGGCCACTGCACTTCGATGTGTTTATGCTGTGAAAAGGCGAGAGGGTGCTGCATTATGATCGATAACTATAAGAATGATGTGATGATCATCGATGTCTTTCAACCCGGCTTCAACGATGCCAGGTTATCCTACGCATATAGCTGGATAAATGCCTATGTTTATGGGTTGGCTCCTGAGATATGGAGCATTATTGAGATAGCTTGACTGGATTTTCCTGCGATTGCTGGATACTCCTGCAGGCTTTTTATTGCTGTCATCGAGACAAAGTTTCGGAGATACTTGTGTTCCTTTTTAGCGCCAGAACTCACCGGGGACCACCAAGGCTTAAGTGAAAAGTCCAGTGAATATCACTGGACCGTCCCACCTCGCTACGTGCGCCCGGCCAACTCACACAGAGATGAGAGATAAGAATGCCCCACTTGAGTCATAGTATATTAAATGGAAATTCCTCGACTTTAAGGGAGCATTTAACCTCAGCTCCTACATCAAACCTTCTTCTTCTCTCAACCTTAACAACTGAGTGAATGCCGGTCTAAGATGACAGCAGCGTTCCTTCCTCAATTTCGGGCCTGCGAGTTTTCACGGTAAAAGCAACAACGGAACGCGACTTCGATTCTCGTACGTAGCTGACAACTTCCTTATTCTACATCGCGTCAGCAAATTCCTATTCTACACCGTGTTATCCTCAAAACAACTAACATGATCTCCATTAATCTTCCTGACTTCCAGACATCACCTTTTACGGGGATCAATCTTTGTACACTTTCCCCAACCTCGACAAGTCCCTGTCGTGTGGACGCTCGAGTCGACGGAAATGAGCAGTTCACGCGTGCCTCAGAGGAGAGATATCGGTGAGCAATATCCTTGGATTGCCGGAAGATACCGGCTATTAACTCTCTTGGCTGAGGCAGATTGTCTCGTTAAAACATGCCTTTCTGCCTTACCGGGAACGCGTATATATACGCTTACCTTAGGCAAGCGAATAGCTTCAGTCCACGCGTTACGCTTCTTTCTCTACCTTATCGAACAAAATGAACATCCACGCTTCCGCATAGCGGACTTCGTGAGCCCATCCTGGCCGCATCCTTTCACCCCCGAAATACCACAAGTGGCCAAATTTTGGTGATGGGAGCTGGATTTGGCTACGGTGCGGGTTTGTTCATTTGGCACTCGCCATATCGTCGTGCTTTGGGCATCTTTCCCTATAAGAGCTTTTCTCCGCAAATACACTCTAATCATGATGACTCCCCCCCCTCATTGGGGGTGGGCTTTGGTGGTGCCAGTGGCCTGTGCCTTCTGGCACTTTTTATGTCGTCGTGCTCCGGGCACAAAGAAAGTGCGCATCAGGCTTCTCATTTTGCTACACTATCATTATAAAAATGAGACTGACGCTGTTTGCTCTAATTCATAGGTGGGTATCTCCTTTTGTCGGGCCCTATGTGCCCAAGACTCTTGATGAATTTGAAACTGTAATGGAAATTATCTGATAAGGTATGACATTCAGTACAAGCTTTTGTCATGGGTATATACTAAGTATAAAGGTTTTCCAGGCTGTCAGACAGCTTTCCCCTCCGCCCAGAAACATTCAAGGATTAGCTTAACGCCAAGTTCCGCCTCTGGGTAATGACTAAATTCATGCTCATAGGAACTATGGCTGATACCTTTTTCAGGGCCGAGATCCGTCGGCTGCCGCCGCTGATGGTGGTGATGGTGGTGGTGATGCGGGTGCTGCTAGTGCTGCTGGTGCCAGTGGCTTGTGCCATTGGACACCTTTCGTTTCAAGAGCGTTTCTCTGCAATACACTCTAATCATGATGACTCCACCCCTCCATCGAACGTCGGACATCGTCTACCCCTCAACTGGCGCCTTCCTCCCCCAGAATACTACCAAAGGCACCCGAAACGTTCTGGGGGAGGTAGGCTTTGGTGGTGCCAGTGGCCCGTGTCTTTCGGCACTCTTCTTATACCTCGTCGTGCTTTGCGCACGTAAAACGTGCCAACTTTCAGGCATTGGCTATAAGCCAAATTTAGGCCGCCCTGGGTAATGGCCAAACCCATGCTCATAGGATCAATAGCTGATACTTGTTTACCGAACACCAGTGGCTGGCCCCAGCGGTGGTGCTGGGGCTGCTGGGGCTGCTGCCGCTGCTCCCGATGCAGCTATTGCTGCTGCTGCCGCTGCCGGTGCTGCTGCCGGTGCTGTTGGGACTGGGGGTACGGGTGCTGCTACTGCTCCTACTACTGCTACTGCTCCTACTACTGCTACTACTGCTGGGACTGGTGCGGGTGCTGCTGCTGCTGCGCCCTGATCAAGGGCAAAGCTTCTTCTCTCTTTCTCATGTTTTTTTTCTCTTTAAAAAAGCTCTTCTTGTAAGAGATACCCACAGGGCTTCGTTCGCGTTTTTATTTTGTATTATTGTATTTTTTTTTGGCTTCAGTATGATAAGGGATTTCTTGTATTACCCATAGCGCTGGCCAGTGGACCCAAAAACGAGAGATCAATTCTATATGGGGATGAACAGAGGAATGTATCCGGACAGAGCAACGGGTTCTTCAATGTATACTAATTCAGTCCAAATCAGATACATATCCCTATACTGTAAGAAAGAGGAACACAATCACATAATGCAATACGGCAAGTCGCGCCACATCTGTAGCCAGAAACCCATCTAGCAGCCATATACAAGATCCAAGTCCCATCCAGTCATGCCTTTCCCGGGACAGCAGGGAGTTAAGACTCGTAGCAAAGCGCAGTCAGTATTAGGCGTAGTTTAGGCCTTCCAATGATATTTCAGTTCACTACAGAAAGACTAGTATTTAACATACCATACGGGCATAATATAATGCATGGTTTTATGCCGAGGTAACACTCTTAAACGTAATTTCGTTCACTCTAATACCACATATTTATGTTACTTGAGGTTGAGAAGAGAGATAAGAGGAATAGGATGTTTCAATACAATAGCCGAATGGAGAATGCGAGGTCATAGACAGGCTATGCTATGACAGGCGCGAATCCTACGTAGCTGCAGCGGGCTGGGCGAAGTGAATCCACTAGGCAAGAAGGGAACAGGAATGTGGCAGGCTGAGTTCTCTCTATGCAATCACACGGGTCCCCAGTCGATACCCAGGAACATATATACTTGACACGCCCGGTGTCCATGCTCTACGCACCTTCTTTCTGTAGAGCAAGTATAGAAATATTGCTGCCTCAGGCAAAGGCAACTAGAAATTGTACTTCACTCAGCATAGAATCAAGTCGTGGTATTGCTAATGAACACAGTCTAATCCGGTATCTTCATCATCAATCTAACCATACAATGCAAACATGACTATGTGCATCTAATAAAAATAACAAACATATACAAACACCTATGCAGACATCGTATCATATCTACAGCATAAACGCAGCCACACCCACCGCCGCGGCAAGCACCGAGTAATCCAACACGCTCTTCATCGCACCGCTGGTAGCAATCAGCACACTAGGTTCATAGGCCCCAGGCGTAGTGCTATTCGTGGTTCCATTCCAGCAGTAATCGTTGAAGCAGGTAGTGCAAATATCCGGGAGGGAGGTGTTCGTGCGGTAGGTGGACCTCTGCAGAATAGCGCACGCCACGCAAGAGGGGAAATTATCGTCCACAGTACCGTTACCGCGGGTGACCACGTTCCAGCCGTTGGTGATGACGGAGTCACGTTCCTCGTCGCTGTAGGTGAGCTTGAAGGTGGAGAAGTTGGAGTCGTAGGTGTAGGGGCTGTTGGGCAGGTAGATGACCAGGGGAGCAGTGCCGGAGATGTTCTTGGGGTCGCAGCCGAAGAAGGTCGGGCGGGAGTTGAGACCCAGGTTGACGAAGGTGTTCTGGTCCGGGACGGCGGGGAAGGAGGTGCCGTTGGCGATGGTGGGTTCGAGACTGCGCTCGTAGGTGGCCACCAGGGAGGTGCCGTTGGGCCAGTAGTAGTCTGTGTCGGCGGAGGAGTCGATGGCGAAGATAACGTCCACGGCACGCTCCGGCTGGATCAGCGGGTGCAGAGGGATGTTCTCGCCGTCTTCACCGCCGTCGACCACGTCGAGGTCTTTGGCGGTGGCGTAGTCTTCGCTGCTGTCGCGGTAGCCCGAGAAGGGGTTCGGGGAGTACACGGCGATGTCGTCGTTGCGCTCACCGAGGTCTTCGAGGATGTCGCTGAAGGCGTCCTTCAGGATGGTGGGGATGCTGGTACTGTTGATCTGGAGGAGGAATTGGTTGAACAGAGTGGAGGATGAGCCCATGATGAACCCGGCGTTGTCGAAGCCGCGCACGCAGGTGCCGTTGTCGGGGATAGCGCCGTTCTCGAAGCGAGAGCCCAGATACTGCAGAGGGGCGAAGGCGTATACGCTAGGGTCGAAGGATCCGAATTCCCAGGGGTTCACTTCGTAGACGGTGGCGTTGGTCTCGATGATCACTTCGCCGGGGTTGCGGCCATCGGCGACGACAATGGGCATGGGGTACTGGCCGTTCTTGAAGTCGTCCATAAGGGCAATGGAGGACCAGGTGTAGTCGGGACCGCCCTTGTCGTCGGAAGCGTTCACCAGCTGGTAGGACAGCGCACGGCCCCAGTAGTCAGTGAAGGAGGTGTTGAAACCGGCATCAGCCTTGCCATCGACTTCCTCGGTGATGTCCTTCCAGTATTCCACCGTGCTGACGATCTGGATGTGGTCGAAGTTGGGTCCCTCGAGCAGGGACTTGTCGAAGCGCCAGACCTTCTCGCTGGCCTGCAATTCGCCAATGGAGGAGAAGTTGTTGACGAAAATAGATCCGACCAGCCAGCTACCTCCACTCAGACCAGAGACATAGGTTGCCGCCTGCAGCAGACCACCCAGCTGACCGGAGTTGGTGGCATTGTCGGAGCGGCTGTCGAACGCCTTGAGCGCACCGGCACCGTTGGTGAGAGCACGGTATCCACCACCCGAGGCCGCAATTGCAATGTTGGGGATGTTGGAGATGTTGCTGGAGTGCTGGTTGATGTAGGAGGTAGTGTCGAAGCCGGTGAGGTTCAACCGGCTCAGGAGGTCCTTCATCGGGGTGAGAGTCGCATTGCGACGGACCTTGAGCCACTCGGTCTCGTTGGTAGAAATGCCGGAGGCATCGCGAATGCTCGGACGAGTCGAGGGACAGGTGACATTGGTGGGAGTATATCCGTCGGGGGCATTGGGGAGGGCGCGGACGATTAAATCGGCAGCGACGGAAGCAACCTCAGCCTCGGCCCTTTCGACAGGCAGGGAAGCAGCATTAGCGAGGCCAGCAGCCGCTGCAGCGAAGAGAGGCAGCTTCATGATCGACAGGGACGACGATCTCGGAGGGAAGGACTGGGAGGGGAGTGTGGAGGAGGGACGGCACGAGAAGGGAATAAAAGTTGCGAAGAGATTCAGCGCACAGAATGGCTTATAATAATATGATCCTGAGTGAACAGCCACATCTTGCGGATCGTCCGGAAGGCTTTGGGCAGCCTTGGCGAATCCACCATGTGAACCAGAGTTTCTGTGAATACAGCGAACTCTGTACAGTCAGCGGCTCTAACCCGGAGTTCGGCAGGAATGTTAGGGCCAATCCCTCGGTCTGGGGAACCCTTGATAGGCCCGAGGGAAAGGGAACAGCCCCATCCAGGAGGTTTGCTGTCCCTGGAACCACTTCATCCTAGGCAGCAAGATTGCCCCTGCGCCACTGGATCCTGCCAAAGGAGTCGGGGTCCGTGGGGGCCGACCAGGCTGAATCGAATTTTCGGGCAGTGAAATCTTGGTTTGCTTTGATCGCAGGGGGATGAGAATTTCTCCCAGAGATGGGGTGATATGGCACCGACTAGTACTGTTTATCTGCAGGTGGCAGGCTGAGTGACACAAACCCGCATGGTTTGCAATGCCGCCATGATTTCCGAGGAAATTTCCTCGTCTGGTTCCGGTGTGCGACGCGACAGACCATCCGACAGGGAACCAAGCTGTCAGTCAAAAAAAGAAAAGCAAACAAACAAGCAGCACAAAAAAGAGCAAATGCAGGGGATACGAATACGAGATGGGGCTGGCTGGGCGCACGTGATCTGACATCAGACATAAACATAGATGACATAAGCAGGGGAATGCTGACATCACCACGATGTCATTCACGTGAGAGTCAATCATCTGACCTCATTCTGCAGAGTTATGCACATCCAGGACATACCTGATGATTAACCACTTCACAAGATCCACATATGCAGATGGTCTCCCGTCCATGACATCACCAACTGACCCCCCAGAGTCAATAACTAAGCACTCATTGAAATATAAAACAAATGTAACATCCATCCCTTGCAGCAACATTCTTGGAATTCCTTACAATCAGACATTCGTCACATTTCTCTCACTTTACACACGAAACAATTGAACATCAATAACCACATAATCATAATGGACAAACTCTCCGGTCTCGCCTCGAAGCTCAGCGGTGGCAACAAGTCTGGTGGTGACGCGCAGGCCTCGGGGTCTAGCGGAAACCAGGGCCAGGAGGATTACCTTGATAAGGGTGAGTATTATTCCGCGCGCACCTATAATAATATGTTGTTGGTTTGGGCTATCGCATTTGGAATGGAATGCTGATATCATCTCTCTTGTAGGTCTCGACTCGGTCGAACAGAAGTTCGGTGGTGGCAAGATCGATCCTCAGAAGATGCGCTCGACGAATGAGAAAATCACGGATACGGCGAGGAATCAGTTTGAGAGTGCTACCGGGTAAGTCTGGATTCTCATGACACTGGTATAGTTCGCGGTGGTTGTAAGCTAATATGCGATGATATAGAAAGAAAGTCCCCGAGAAGTTTTCCAATTAGTTCCACTACAAGAGACATTGAAGGATATGAGAATATTTATTGTATAATGAATTAATTAAATTTCGGAATTGCAAACTTCCAATGTTATAGACTATATATTGAGATACTAAATTGTTTCGTTGAAGTAGGTTAGGCGCCTCCAATGTTATAGACTATATATTGAGATACTAAATTGTTCTCGTTGAAGTAGGTTAGGCGCCTCTTCTCGAGGAAGTCATCGGGAGGGACAGTTATTGATGAGATGGATACTATATTGGTCTTTTTAAAAAATAGATGTCGGCCAATGAAGCATGACCAAAGGTTCCTCCTTATTGTCACCCAAAATGCTGAAGTCCAATTTATGGCGAGGATGGCACATGGCATTCGCTTTCATTTTAGCCTGAGTCAGTAGATTTACGGGGTACGATTTCTGCCTGCACCCACTGAAGTAGGCGGAGGGTAATAGTAGGTGAAGGCTGTGGCATAACTAAACGAAGGCTAGTGTGACGGTAACCAATAGCACCTCCCTCATGAAAGAAGTCAGCGGGTGAGTATTATCCATGTTCTAATCCGCGTACTGAAGTGCGATATGGCCTTGGGCTCCTCAGGCCTTTGACCTCGACGTGTTTGGTTAGCCTGCCCTCAATACTCCGCTAAGTGCGACTGTACCAGTAGTAGTATATATAAAGCGGTGAGATACTGAGGGGGCAGTAGGTGTCAGGAAGCTTTTGCTCCTTGCTCCCAGAAGGCGAACGCAGAGAGTCCATTGAAGTCTGATCGTCATAGCAAGTTGAGAACGACGTGGGATGCAAAATCGTACATCACCATGTATATTTCTTCTCAGCCCGATAACAAAGGGTTCAACCAGCGTTGGAAGGCTGACTGGATGTGGGCTTTCCTCAAACTTATGTTAGGTGGACTGTTCAAAGACTAAGACTCTTAATTTAGCAGTATCCTCGTTTACAAAATGAAAGTGTCATAGAAAACTGTTTCTTCCCAATTCCATTCAACCTATTTACACCCCACCCTGGATCTTGATTTTGGATGCCCCTTGTCTTCCTTTCTTTTCCCATCCTTTTGAAAATTCGAAGGTAGCAGACTATGTCCATCACCTGTTTGAACTCCTGGGCTGCCTGTGGGTTAAACTGGTGCTGTTTGCGGATCTGCTGATTCTTGCTAGGCACCAACTCTTTTGGAAGCCGCCACTATGAAATGTCATAGCTGGGCTTGAGATTGCGTTTGTCTGTATAACGGTTCGTGATACTTACCGACTCGTGGAGTCGGCAACTGAATAGCGTGGTTATTCTTCCGCATATGATACTCTCGGATGTCATGTTGGTGGGCTGCCTATGTTTGTCGCCAAGCTCGAAGAGTCAGGCCGGCAGTAGCTGTATGGCTGTCTCATTCAAGCGCCTCCAGCTGGGCGGTGCTTATGAGGGATCTGGTTACAGTGACAATGAGGATGACGATGACGATTTGTCCGTTGGCGGTAGTATCTTCCTTGAACCTGGACACACCGACAAGAATAGCAGCACCAATAAGGGCAAAGAGAGAGTCTTCACCGCCAAATCCTATGCTGGGTATGGGTATCTGACCTACAGCAGCATAATTGAAGGGGGTAATTATAATCGAGGCGAGAGTGCTTCAAGCGGGGGAGGTCGAAATAAGAAGCAGAGACGATCAGAACAGGCGAGGAGGAAGTCGCTTGCTTGACGAGTACCGACCTGTTTCTAAGGAGCTTGAGCCAGTTCTTCGTAAAGCGATAGTGCTTCTCTTTACTTAGAGATGTTGAACGACGTCGTTGCTACAACGAAGAAGTTATTAAGTCGATGATACCAAGATTGAATTCAGCAAGCTTTTTGGTTCCAATAATGAACAAAGGTTTAGCAGTAGCGAAGTAGTCAGGCAGCTCGTTAGGTCGACTGAAGCTGCGAGCTATTGCACCTGGGATTCCTCATTACTCAAATCCAAAGACATAGTCATTTACCCAAGACGTCAAATAGTCCCTGGAGAAGTTGCGGTAGCCGCATAGGAAGACATCCACAATCATCGGGTCATTCTCATATTTCTCAACTTCCACAGGATACCCCCTTGCGTCTTCGCAGCATAAGCACATTGAAGTGCAATGGCTCTTATGGAGCGGATGCTTATCAGTTCTCGGCTTCTCGCAGCATCTGCATTCCCGTCCACAGCACCCCCCGGAGCGTGCGCATTCCTGGCGCAGAAAGTTGGAGAGATACCAATCCTTCTGTTGTTGATGTGCGTACAGCATCCGCCCCAGAGGCCCGTCGGGAAGCGTATTTATATAGCGATAGGTCTCTCGTTCCAGGTTGCAGTTTGTTTCTCTGAGAGAGTAGAGTTCCTTTTTGTAGGTTTGCATCTCATCTACAGAAGTAGACGGGACTTTCGTCGATGCCTCGAACAACATGTCATGCTTGGCTCGCAGGTAGACTTCGCGCTGTATTGAGAAGCGTAGCTTGAAGTACATTTGGATATATCTTTCAACGGGCTGCCAGAGATCCCTATATGAGAGAAGAGGAATTCCACATCTTGGAAGCTGTAGTAAGCGGTAGAACTGAGCCGTATCATGGTCACCTTTTCGCCGATGCTTATCTTCCTTATGTCGGAAGAGTGGCCTAAGAAAGTATCTGACCACCGCCAAAAGTGACATGTTGGCTTGTTTGGGAGTGAAACTTGAAAGAATAAAGGTGAGAAGCGTCGAAGGCAGGCTTTTATAAGGTCACATGATGACATGTATTCTCATCATGACATGAAGATTGGAGGGGAAGCGGAACATAATGAGGTATGGATGAGTCGAACCGAATAGAGTTCTTTCCCTACGCTGAGCATAGAGAGCTAAGCAGCGCGAAAGGTGTTAAGACATTCACTGCAGCCAGGCAGCTGTCAGCTGATCCTTCGCCTCTTCTTCCTGTGTGGTCTTCAATCACCACTTCTTCAACCAACCAACCAACCAACAACCACCTAACCCCTTGAGATATAAACAGATCAAATCCATACATCTTTGACCCTTCGTCTTGACAAAAGGTGCCGATGGAAAGGAGTGCAAATGCAATAATAATGCTGAGGCCGGCAGCCCATACAAATTCTGGCGTTTCAAGTCGGTCAGAATTCCGACAATACTAAAGACACCTATACGAAAGTAGCATGGACAGCTTGCGCTGCTCCTTCCCAAGATGTTGCGTGGGGCAAGCAGGATGCGATGCGATTTACAAATCCATCGTGGTAGCAAAATCCCCCAAAGACAAGAATGCCTCTTCTTTTTATTTTCGGAAGAGAAAAAATCCCCAATTAAAGTGACAATTTGCTCTCTGCCCCCTTAAATTCTCAAATCATGGTTGTTTTTCCGAACCCCACAGGGGGCCCTTGCGATTGTTGGATTCTCCATCCTGGCGATGTTGTTCAGGGCCCACTTCGGTTTTGTCTGAATTTAGTTCATCTTTCAATCTCATTGGCGGTATGCATAGCATTCTATCATTTTATGGTTCTGCTTTCTATACCTTGGCTTGAAGCTAACGAAATGTGTTGAATTATAGCTTCCGTTTCCCTTAGGGGGGGAGGAGAATTCACCCCCGGGACAATCGGGGACTTCGAGGAGGCATTACGCATGGTCGAACAACCTCGTTAGAATCCCCATACTGAAAAACATGAGGAATTTGCCATATCAATATTGTGTGGCATGAGGAAAATAAGGGGTGCGCAGCCGTGAGGGCTGCTTGGGTTTTATCTGTTTCATCCGTTTGGTCATTTCCGGTCCCTGTCCCGTACGACTTGTAGCAAGAAAGCTACCAAGTTTCATGAAGATCGTATCGAATCCAGTATACGAGCTCGCAAGCTTTTGAGGCCACGGAGGGACAGGGCCATGGAAGGATAATAACTGGTAGTAAGGGAATATATTATGCAGATATCCTGGTAGTAATCTGAAGAACGAATAATCACATCCGCTGAAACGATGACAATAAACTCTGTATCCCCCCCGAAGTCCTCTGCGGCATTATATATCTTGTATGCATGCGACACAACTGCAACATCGTCTGCACCTCCTGGGGCACGGCCGCTCCGTTCTCACGACATCCCTCCACCACTCGCTCATAGTAAGCCTGCGCCTCAACGTGCTTCTGCGCCTCCATGTGCAATTTCCCCAACATAGCCAGCGTACTCTGCACTTCGGGACAGCCCTTCCCCATTCGATTCTCCGCCCATGTCAAGTACCTGCTCAACCATGGCGTGGCCAACTGCGTATTCGACTGGCCGGGCGTGCCATACAACCCCGCCACGCTGCGTCCCTGCGACGCATACATCACACCCATCAGTGCCACGATGCTCATCGTCTCGGGATGGTCCGCTCCCAGCTCCTCCTCGGCATTCGCTAGCGCACGCCGGAACGTCTCCGACGCTGCCGTAATCCCGTCCGGATCGAGCATCTGACTCCCACCCTGTAGCCTCAAGGCCCGAATAGCGAGTGGATGGCGCGGACCAAGCAGGTCCGTCAGCTCGCGTGCAATCTGCGTAGCCCCTTGCGCCAGCTGATCTACCTCCCCGCTGAACCGCATGACCATCAGTGCCCTCGTATCATGCGATCGCATTGAGAGCATGTGATCCGCTGTATCAAGAATAGAAGCATACACGCGTATATGGTTAGGTCCCAGTAACTCCCGCAACCGTTCAGTAACCCTCTCCGATGTCTGCACAGCTTCTTGTCGTCGCTCAACAGCGCCATACGCGATCGCCAACCTCCGGCGCGTGTCGAGGGTGTCCAGATCATCTTCTCCGATGGTCATTTGCTGACGGGCCAGGACATTCGCGCATACCGACTCGCCTTCCTGGCCTTTCCCCTGATGGCAGAGGATCTCACCCATGAGACTCTCGGCCTTCATGGCGAGCGGGTGACGCTTATCGAAGACACGTTGGCTGTTAGATGAGACCCAGCCGGCCCATTCGGCGGCTTTGGAGAGGTATCCGGACTCGAGGTCGATAGAGGCGAGATGGTACCCTATCTCGAGAGTGCTGTGGTGGTCTGGTCCGATGGTGCGCAGGTGTTCGTTGAAGATGTCATATTCGAGCTTTCGGGCTTCATCCCAGCGGTAGTTGTTCTTCAGCTCCGCAGCCTTGATCGAGCGAGGATCGTTGTCGACGGGGGTGAAGAGAGTGCCGATGACGCGTTTGGTGGTGGGTTGGGGTGTGGGCGCGGCGGGATACGGGATGCTGCTGTTTCCTGGCAGGCGCGGAGGCAGAGGGGGGGCTGGATGAGGTGATACGGAAGGTTGTGGGATGTAGCCTTGTTCGGTTATGAGGACTTGGTCGGCGATTTGCTTGATGTTGCCTTTGATCAGTTTGTACATCGGGCCCCGACTGCCCACTTTGCACATCTGCGAGTGGTCGGCGTCTAGCTTCAGTCGGGTTTCGCGTTGGCCGGGGAGTCCGAGGACGGCTGATTCCTCGTCGACTACTAACTGTATGTTGTTAGAGTAAGATATAAAGAGCGAAGTTGCTATCCGCTTACATGGCTAACAGACGCCGGTCCAGCACCGCCCAAGAAAACCTCTTTCCCTTCCACGAAACTGATCACGCGATAGTCCTCCAGCTGGTGCGAGAATCGGCTTGTCATCTGGCGGGTGAAGAGTGAGTTATGCTCCAGACAATCGAGCAGATCATTACTGGCGTGTCCTTTGGCGACGAACCGCGCCACCTTTGCTGCGATCTTACCGAGCTCGACACCTTTGGTACCTCGATGTGGACAACCAAAGAAGACCAGACCAGACGTGTTGTTGCGGATCGAGTTGTACTTGGGGTCTTCGTGTGCGTTCAGCAGTGCCTATCTAATCAGTCCAAGTTCTTTGATCTACCAGCAGTGGTGATCACCTACTTGCTTGATGACCAGTCCGCCCAAACTATGACCGATGAATATAATCTTTGTCGGTCGCACATTCTATTCCTCGTCAGATACGGTTTCTCTCCCCGATATTTAGATAGAAGAACATACCAACTGAGGACTCCGCTCCAAGTCCAACAAATTCAGCAATGTATTGGCATGGTCTTTGACGCTAGCAGTCGACATGCTCTGGGGGTTCGTGATGGTGGAATTATACCCATAGACGAAGATACGTGCCTGCGGGATATCCTGAGGGAGGTAGTCCCGCGGCCAGAAGATGCCGTTCTCGTGCGTCCATGTTTCGAAGGGGTGGTTGTCTTTGCCTCGAGGGTTTAAGCCGTGCACGAAGACGAAGCTGCGAGGTTAGGCAGGTTGCCCTTTGCTTGTTTCAAGTGTTGAACTCACTCGATCTTGGGCTGCTCCGCAGAGTAGACCTCTTCAAGGAATGGAAACTCATGTCGGGAGGCAGCCTCCATCGCTGGATAGGGATGCTCTTCTGTCTATCGATTGCTGCTGTTATCTGTGTAAACTATGTGGTTAGGGTGAAGAGGAGGTGAGGGTGAACACTCCCCGCCGACGAGCGGGCGCACTTCATTTGATGAATGATTGCCAGTCTAGAGCCTGGAATCTCCAGCCAATCGGCTATTATTACCCCAGACATATCTGGATACGATCCCAGGAACGTGAGGTGTGCAGCCTGTTCCTGAAAGTAGTGCAACCACGCGAAGTGAGGCGCCGGTCATGCCGAGGGCGAGGTCAGTCATGCCTGTCGTGCCCTCCGATAGGGTAGGAATACGAGATGCTCATGCAGCTTAGTCTTGGCTCAAGCACAGCCCGTGCCTCTGTCATTCAGGGTCGTTGTCTATCATGTCAATGAGAAAGGTCGTGTATGTACATATGATCATCAAACGCCGGCCGAATGCGAGTCCTAGAAAGTCCACACCAAGCCTGATCTGCCTCATGCACACTACCAAGCACCGACGATACCTGCGATGGGAATATCAATGCCGGTGGTGTACGAGCTGCTATCGCTGAGCAGATACACGTAAGCACCTCCCAACTCGCGAGGGTCGGCCAGCCGAGGCATTCCCCCGTAGTATTCCATCTTTGTATCCCAGTCGGGGGCGGTTTCCACGTAGTAGGTCATGGCGGTGCGGACAAAACCCGGGGAAATGCTGTTCACGCGGATGCCGTGTTTGCTCCACTCCATCGCTAAGGTGTGACACATGTTGCGCACTATAGAATTTTCAGTTAGTCTAATACCAACAAGGTTGAAAAAGAGTAAGATTACTTACCTGCGGCTTTAGTAGCGCCGTAGGGAGCGGACGGGGCAGCCTAGGATCACTTAGCATAGATGTCAATCCCCTATGAGGAAAGTATACATACGCGATTCGGACGATAAGAAGTCATACTAGCAGTCATAACAATAGACCCCTTGATCCCCAGCTCGATAAACTTCCGAGCGACAATCTGCGCGCAGAAATATGCGCCGAAAACCTGCTGCCCGTAAGCACCCGCGCGCTGCACACACTACAGGCAGCCACTCACATTAAGGTTGAACATGCGTTCTAATTCCGGGCGCTCAAATTTGAGCGCCGGCTGATGTTTGGTCATTCCCGCATTAGCCACCAGACCATCAATTCGTCCGGTTTCCTCCACGATTTGATTCACGGCCTTCTCGATACTCTCCTCGGAGGTCACGTCGGTCTGGATATATCGGAAGTTCGGGTAGCGGGTCTGAAGGGCAATGGTCTCTTCTCCGGGCTCCATGAGATCCATTG